ACATTGAGGAGCAATGAAGAATGCCCCCTACAGAGCACAGGTGCCCAGGTGCCCAGCTGTCCAGCATCAGCTCCTGTGCCCACTGTTTCCTTGGGGCCAGGCAGAGAATCCCCTGCTTCAGGCCCAAGAGCCTCTTGAGCAAATCCTCCAGGAGAGCTGGTGAGTCCGGTTGGCCAAGCCGATTGCAGTGTCAGGGAGTAGGTGCAGACTTGGAAGCCAGATGATCTTGAGTTGTATCCTCACTCTTTGACATCCTTGGATGAACTAATCACTCTCTCCAAGCCTCTGCCTCCTCATCCATAACATGGCGCTAATTAGACGCATCTCCGAGGGTGAGTGTGAAAATAACAGGGAAATGCTTTATCAGCACATGCTTCTCTAGGTGCCTGAGACTGGATGGTTGCTCAGAAGTTACTTTCTTTCCTTCCTCCTTTCCTCCATTTCTCTTATCTCTCCCTCCCTTCCCCCCTCCTCTCCTTCCCTTCCTCCCTTCGCAGCCCCTGCCACCTGGGTTGCTGTTCCTCTGCCTCCAGACTCCATTCATGTCAGTAACTAAAGCTTGACTATGTTCTTAATGTATTTTGTCTGTAGTCTCAAAGCAACTCATCTTATTTTGCAGTATTTTATTTTGAGGACAGATGTTGGTGGCAAGGGGTTTTAACAAACACAGGCGACTCCCTCACATATTCATCTGTGCATTCAGTATTTTCTCTCAGTTCTGTGGAAGTCACCGTCCCAGGTGCTGAGGAGCAAAGATGCACACATCAAGATTTTCTCTCATTTTCAATGCCTGTGAAATCTTTAATAACATATGGGGAGGAAAAAGATAATTCCATGTCAGTTTATTTTTTGCTACTCAGGGAAATAAAATTCTGAATTATGTGGCAAAGATTCCTGTCTTGTGTGGCCTTGAATGACCCTAGAGCTCTCTAGATATTGGCATGGATGTAGGGATGGGGTTTGACTGGGGGTAAGGAGGGGTGCCCCCTTCTGCTCACCCGCTGGGTAAGTTACTTTTCCTCTTCAGCCCTGTATTTTCCTGATGTGTAAAATGTGGATAATAACAGAGCCTGAGAGGATAAGATGAGTTCAGGATGTATGGGGAGGGACACAGTGCCTGGCAGGATGACTGGCAGGCGATGATGTTGATGCTGATAATTATCTCTATGGTCACTGAGGCTCAAACTTGAGCCAGCTCAGCATCTAGATCTGCAGGGGATACGGCACAGGGAGGGAATATCCCTGCCTTCCAAAGGCCTGTGGCCAAGTAGCAGAAGAGACAAGTACCTGTTCTCCCTAATTCTAGACAAAAGCGGGATAAATGATGAAGATAGACAACAGAGTGCTGGGGATTTTCAGAGGCAGGAAAGTTGGTAATGAAAAGAACCACTGTTTATTGAGTCCTCCCACACTGAGTTCATTGAGTCCACCATCAATGCTGTAAGAGACCTATTTATTATCATCCGTGTTTTATACATGAGGTAATAAGTTCAGATAAGTGAGGCAATGTCCTCCAAGGTCATGCACAGCAAATGAGTGGCAGCACCCAGCACTTGAACCCAGATCTGTCAGACCCAAAGCCCACACTCTTCCCCCACATCATGCTCCTCAGGCCTCACCTCTTGCTCTCAGAAGATCGGCCTCACTTCTGAAGTCCCTTGTGCATGGCTTCTTTCCTCACCTTCCCACATGGATATCAAATGACTATATCGACTTCCAAGAACAGGCAGAAGATAACCCTTCAGAAAGGAGGTCCATTGAGATGGGAACAACTGGCAGAGGCACGGAGGGGAAGGCAGGATAGAACTCTTCGTACATCCCAATGTGGATGTCCTGCTGGCTGGCCCCACTGTTGTGAGCTCTGGGAACAGAGAGGCTGCGACTTCCTCATTTTCAATCCTAAGGGGTGCCACCTTATAGTCTGGCACATAGATCATGAAGGATTCAGAGTGGAGCTGGGAAGGTGACCACCCTGGACCTAGCTGGGGGACGTGATGGCTGGATGATTGTTCTTTCCAGAGAGAGAAAGTCAAGCCACATTCCCAGGCCAGGGGCATGTGTGCTCTCCCTGCCACTGATGGAATTGGAGTTGTATGGGTCCCACCCAGAGACTAGGCTAGAGCTGCTCTAGAACTGGGGTTGGGAAGCCTGCCCGTATGGAAGGAGAATCTGCTGGGTATAGATATTAGGTGCTACTGAGTATGCACAAATGTATCATATACCTGGACTTATCCTCAGGGAGGGCAGTGTGGCATGGTGGTTAAAATGTGAGCTTTGCAGTTAGACTCCCTGAAATCCCTGCATCTCTACTTCCTCACTGTGTGATCTTGGGAAATTTTCTTTTCACTCTGTGCCTCAGTTTTGTCATGTGAAATTAAGACTATTAACTGTAATTTCCTCATAGGTTTTTGATAAGGATTAAATTTAATGATACATATCAAGCACTTTAGCTTAGTGCCTGGGACATAGTAAGTACTTAATAAATTGTAGTTGTTAATGCTACTAGTATTAGCACCATTACAATTTGATTGGTGGGGAAATAAGTATAGGAACATTAAAAGAATAAATAATGCAGTAACCCAGGATGTGGCATGTGCTAAATTTTCAGTACCTCTTAGAGCATATTAGAATATGTTAAAATGTACTTGAATGTAAGCTCCATGAGGTTAATGATTTATACTTACTCATTGCAGTATTCCTAGTGCGAATCAGCTTTCCTGGCATGTAGTGGCACCCAATAAATATTTGTGAAGTGAATGTTCCAAAGCCAACTTATTTTCTGCCTCAGGGCCTTTACACATGTGGTTCCCTCTCCCTGGTATGCTCTGCCCCAAACCCTTCTTTTACTAAGTAAGTTTCTTCTCTTTCTTTAGGGTACTTCTTTTTGAGCTGATCACTGTCGCCTGCCCACCTCATTGTCATCTAAATTAGGTCAACATCTGTATTTCTTTCTCAGACTCTTTGTCCTTTTCCTTATAATAGTCTTCATAATCTACAATTACACCCTTGTTGGTATTTATTTATTCAATCTCTGCTGCGTTTAACTGAATCGTAAGCTCCACCATGGGTGGGAAATCAGTCTTATCCCCAGATTCTCTGACCCTCCGTGGTGCCTGGCAGACAGCAAGCATGGAGTAAATTCTGGTTGGATTAACGTACTGAAAGTGTTTAGAGGAAGGAAACTGACCTGCGGTAGTTGGGACAAAGAATGGGCAACTTTAATTTCTGTGAGACTGAGATAAAGGTATAAGAGTACTTGGTACTTAACCCTTTCTGATTAAATAGAGGCTGAGATCGGATAAGATAATTTTGTTAAAGTCTGTTGTGGCCTGAAAAGCCTGTGTTCCTTGGCTGGTTCCTTGGCTCACTCATTCGCTCTTCAAGCTTTGAGTGAACTCCTGCCCTGGGCCCACATGTAGGAACTCCCCTCTCTCTGTTCCTTGCCACAGCTGAATGATGAGCTTCTCATAGTCAGGAAGTGTGTACTTGTCCTCCTCATATCTCTGATGACTAATACTTAGCTAGAAAAAAACAAATGAAAGAACTCATAAGGTGTCTGTAATGGACAAGTGGAATTCATAAGGGGAGAAGGCGTTGGGGTGGTGTGGGGGAGGCAATTGAACTTGGGCTGCCTATCTGTTTTTAGCTTTTATCCCATTCAGCCATTGTACTCCATGGAGGAAGGCATTTGTTCCATTCTTGGATGACAGACGTTAGGCAGATTCTTGCCAGGTGTTCATTTTAATTTCCTATCTTGCCTACTCTCGGTAGTTAAGCATTGCAAATATGGGACTGGTATCTTAGTATACCCACCCTGAAAGCGCTTCTGACCTCCCTTCCCCATTTACTGTGCTGACATCCTCCAACTGGCCTCAAACCCCAGGAGGCCTCCAAAGCATTCTGGTCAGCTTTATGCCTTTTAGCTGCAGGAGATCATTAACGTCACACTTCTGTCCCCTTCTGGGTTTCATGGCCAGCAGGTCAGGGCTCTTCCAAAGAAAGCTGGCTAATTATATCCCTTGTCAGAACAAAATCCCACAAGGGGAGCAAAGCAGTGGTGTATAAATAATGCTGGGATAGGAGCAGGCACCACTGGCTCTCCACATTTGGGGGAAGTACCATTTGAGGATGTGCTTCCCCTCTGCTCCTGGCTCTCCCTGATTTGAGTAGAACCAGCAGCCACCCTTGCCCACTTACTCCCTTGCTTGGTGTGTTAGATCCAAAGATCTCACTGCGGTGGAGTGATGGGAAGAAGGCAGAACGAAGGGAAACGGGCCAGGAGACTGGATGCTGGTTAGAGATCAGCAACCAGAGTTGGAGAGGCTTGTTGCAAGTGGCAGAAAATAGGTGGTGGCTGAATTCCCACTGCATCTCCATCTGCTCTGCCCCTTCCCCTTGATAGGGCGCTTTCCTTCTTTTTTCCTGGGCCCCTTTTCCTCTCTTCCCTGACTCCTTTCTTTTGCTTTTCTTTTTGTCTTTTTTGAGACAGAGTCTAGCTCTGTCACCCAGGCTGGAGTACAGTAGTGCAATCATGGCTCACTGTAGCCTCCACCTCCCCGGGGTGATCCTCCCACCTCAGCCACCCGAGTAGCTAGAACTATAGGTGTGTGCCACCACACTCAGCTACTTTTTCTATTTTTTGTAGAGACGGGGTTTTGCATGTTGCCCAGGCTGGTCTTAAACTCGTGGGATCGAGCGATCCTCCCACCTCAGCCTCCCAAAATGTTGGGATTATAGGCATGAGCCGCTGTGCCCGGCCACCTCATTCCATTCTAAGGATACATTGATATTATTTACTTTCCTTGGACCAAAAAAAAAAAAAAAAAAAAAAAAATCAGGCTTTCTGACAAGATAACCAGAGTACAAAAGTCCAAACATCTTTAAAGTCATGATTATTTTTCCCTTAACTACTCCAGTGTTTTGGCATTTTTGCCTTTGGAGTGAGGGGCTCCCCAGCCTGGGACTTGGGAAGGACTAATTCAGAGAGTCTCTGTCCACAGACTGATGCTGAGAAGCACTCACAGGTGGAGAGGAATTCACTGTGGTCTGGTGATGATGTCAAGAAATCAGACGGAGGCTCAGACAGCGGCATAAAAATGGAGCCAGGTTCCAAGTGGAGGCGGAATCCTTCTGACGTGTCTGACGAGTCCGACAAAAGCACGTCCGGCAAGAAGAATCCTGTCATCTCCCAGACAGGCTCATGGCGGCGAGGCATGACAGCTCAGGTGGGCATCACCATGCCAAGGACGAAGCCGTCAGCCCCAGCAGGCGCACTGAAGACCCCAGGAACTGGTAAGAGGCCGGAGCTGTCTTGGCCCTACAGTTGTCATTTGGAAAACCAAAGCCATAGTTAACTCTAGCAAGGACTTGACATTATAGATTTTGTCTCAGGATTTATACTCTGCTAACAACAAGCTTCCATAAACTTTCACATCCCTACCTTTTTCTAAGTGGAAGTAAGTATGGGAGCCTCTTAAGCTCTGAAGACGGTTCGGCTGCTGAGACGTATTGAATTGGTTTAACTAGACACTGGGTGAGTTAATGCAGCCAGTTCAGGCTACTAAACAGCATGGATTTATGAGCTGTGGGTATGGTGAGTTGACGTTGTTCCTGACTTAGGGGATATTTATAAACAAGGGCAGGGGTGTGCCCCTGGACATGTTAGGGACAGCCCTTTAATGGACAGAGGGTGAAAGGTCAGAAAAGGCAGGGGGTTATTTCCCCCCAGACATATCAGTGATTGGCTGGCTTTGCTTTATCCCGGGTAAATTTAGACTGCTTTGCGAATGAGGAAAATTATTGACATTTCCTAAAAGGTTCACAGTACATTAGGAGACTATATTATTTTTATAAAAAGCTCTTTCCTCTGCCTCCCCAAGGGAAAAGTGAACCAGCTCTTCAGAGGAGGGGGGTATCTTAAACAGACGAGATGGATGAGCTGGGCTCTTGGCTTGCAGGCTAATCTTGCTGATCTCTCTCTTAGGAAAAACAGACGATGCAAAGGTGTCTGAGAAAGGACGGCTTTCTCCTAAAGCCTCCCAGGTGAAGCGCTCCCCATCAGATGCAGGCCGGAGCAGTGGTGACGAATCCAAAAAGCCCCTCCCCAGCAGCTCTAGGACACCCACTGCCAATGCCAACAGCTTTGGGTTCAAGAAGCAGAGTGGTTCCGCCGCCGGTCTGGCCATGATCACAGCCAGTGGGGCCACTGTCACCAGCAGGTCAGCCACACTGGGCAAAATCCCAAAGTCGTCTGCACTCATCAGTCGGTCTGCTGGTCGGAAGTCAAGCATGGACGGGGCTCAGAATCAGGATGACGGGTATCTGGCCCTCAGCTCCCGGACAAACCTTCAGTACCGGAGTTTGCCGAGGCCCAGTAAGTCCACCAGCCGCAATGGGGCTGGGAACAGGTCTAGCACCAGCAGCATAGATTCCAACATCAGCAGCAAGTCCGCAGGCCTGCCAGTGCCCAAACTGAGGGAGCCTTCCAAAACAGCCCTAGGCAGCTCTCTACCAGGTCTGGTCAACCAAACAGATAAGGAGAAAGGCATCTCATCCGACAACGAGAGTGTGGCTTCCTGTAACTCGGTGAAAGTGAACCCGGCAGCCCAGCCTGTGTCCAGCCCGGCTCAGGCTGGTCTCCAGCCTGGAGCCAAGTACCCAGATGTGGCCTCTCCCACACTCCGCAGGTAAGTGAGTACATTAATGGTGCTGAGCAGAACCAGAATACAGGGAATGGATTTAGTAATTTCCTGTTTCTTAGTTGAAGCACCCTCTGTTTTTCTCCACTTTAGTCCTCCGGTAAAGCTGTTTAGGCAGATCCTGCCAACAGTTTTGCAGTTGACTATTTTCCCATGTTGGGATGAAAAAGTTAGGCCTCTGGAATCAATCATCTTGGAATCAAATCTTAGTTCCATTTTAATTAGCTGCCATATAACCTTTCTTAACAATTCTGCCTTAGTTTCCTCACCTGTAAAATGGGGATGATGATACCTTTTTGTCAGGGTTTTTGTAAAGATGCATCTTTGTAGTCATGTCTGGTCGTAGTATGCACTCAATAGAAGATAGCTAGCACTGGGCCAGTGGCTCATGTCTGTAATCCCAGCACTTTGGGAGGCTGAGGCAGGCAGTTCACGAGGTCAGGAGTTCGAGACCAGCCTGGCCAATATGGTGAAACCCCATCTCTACTAAAAATACAAAAAAAGTAGCCGGGCATGGTGGTGTGCACCTGTAGTCCCAGCTACTCAGGAGGCTGAGGCAGAAGAATCACTTGAACCCGGGAGGCAGAGGTTGCAGTGAGCCAAGATCATACCACTGCACTCTAGCCTGGCGACGAGTGAGACTCCATCTCAAAAAAAAAAAAAGAAAAAAAAAAGTTAGCTACCATCTTGATACACCCTTGGACCTGGGTGGGTAGCTCAGGGGAGCAGATACTTTTTTTCTTGTGTTAATAATTCTGCAGCTGAGCTTCCTCATTATGGCAAGCAGTGATCTTGACCAGCTCCTTCCTTTACTCACAAACCCCAGTGTCCCCACATACACTTTTACACTACTCCAGAATTCCAAGTCAGTCTGAAATTTTACCTTCTCCCTCCCCACCACACACACACACACACACACACACACACACCTCTTAAAGAAGAAATGTTTCTGAAAAAGAGAAATTGATTTCCTATTACCTTAAATAGACATCATTTCCCCACATTTTCACACTGGGTGGAAGCTCTAGACATAAAAAAATTATTCACTCGTTTTAAGTTTCTTTTAAATTTATTCAACTTTTGCCTGTTTGTATTATCTTATTATAATATCCATTGGACCATTCTCAAACTACAACTGCTAGGTTACAGTTCATCCTACTTTCCCAGGAAATTTCTTATAAGAAAGAGTAAGTCCCAAGGAAAGAAAATCAAGCAGTGAGAAAATAAAAATTATATGCACACGTACATATTTGGGGATGAACAGGAATGTTTGAAAAGACTTCAGAAGAAGCATTCTACATGAAAGGTATAATGAAGCAGTTCACTGTTCTTTGTCCAGACTTGATTATTAGAGTTTCAGTAATGATTTTTTTTTCCGGGGGTAAGTCTCTTGGGCTGTTCTTTGTTGTTTTAACAGATTGCCTTGTAAATGAAAATTTTCTCTGTTTCTTGCCTCAAGTATTATATGTAATATTCACTCGTTGGTATTATAGATTTCCTTTACTAACTACAAAGGCATTTTACTAGACCCTTAGGCTACTATAATAGAATGCTTGAAAATGCATGCAGCTCCTAGGGCTCTACATTGAACACCTTTCAGCCAATTCCTGGTAAATTACATTTATTCCTAAATCGTTGAGGTATTCACAGTTCTCTTGATGTGTATTAGTATGGAGAAGAAAAATCTTTGGTGAAATGTGATAGATAACTCTCTTCAAATGATTTGAAGGACTAACAGACCGAAGATTAGACTTTTGTATAGAGTCATGCATAGCAGGATGAGGAGCAATATGCAAAAGTCAGAAAAAAAAAAAGTGGATGAGATTAGGGTTTTCCAATAATTGGAAGTGCTTGGCAATGGAGCAAGTTGCCCTTTGAAGTAACGAGATCCCTGTCATCACTGGAAGTATGTAAGCATTCTAAAGCCAAGATTCTACATTAGGATATTTCATTCCCTGATTGTCACCAGACACAAAGTGCTTCCCTTCTGCCACCACCACACACTGTAGTAAGGATGGATTGATTGATTGTCTTTACAATACTTGAGATTTATAGGACTGTTTGGAGAGGACAGAGATCAAACTGTCACCACTTTGAGCACCCAAGGCAACCTGCTTATCAGAAATATGTAATAGTTTTGTCACTTGTGAGATACTCACTCCACACAGGTTTTAGTGAGTGTAATAGAGCCTTTACATTACTAGAATGTGGACAATTCTCTGACTTTAAGATAATTTCAACATTCTACCAGAGAGCTCTCTGCCAGTGGAAGAGGGGGCATTTATGTCATTCCTTATAGTCTGATGGCACATTTTTGGCCACGAGCAGGGGAGGTGACATAGAATGACATTTCTATGTGTCTGTCACAGAGACACAGTTCACACCCAGTTGTCTGGTCTGATGTCTTGTGAACCCAACAAGATTTCCATGTATGTCACTGGATAAGTAAGCTCTCTGGCTTCAAAATATACACCTTTCCAGTTGCGCTTTCTATTGTGGATAAATCTCTGAAGATACTTTTCCCAGGCCCCTCCAGATCTAGATTCATGCTCTTGATTCTATGTATTGTGCTCAGAGGTCAAGAAACCAAATCCCTTAGAGTTGAGCTGTCATAAACTGTGTGCCTGCTTTATGCCTGGGGCCGTGGAGACAGAGATGATGAAGACAACCATCTTCCTGGGCCAGGGCAATTTTCTAGTTAGTCTATTTATTGAAAGAAAGAGAAGCAAGATCTTGGCCCAGTGTAATGTGAATAGGCCTGTAGAAAATTATTACCCATGGCTCTTTGGCTCAGATGGAGTCGGAGTCTCCGCTGCAGCTTAGAACTTGAAGACGGCAGCCTGTGATAAACTAGTATCTAGGCCCACTTTATGGCCGACCTTTCCCTGAAGTACCTTTAGCCATTTCAGTAGGAATGGCTGTGCTTCCTTCCCCAGGAATTCTCACCAACTCCTCTGCCCTACCCTTCTTTAATAGTCCGGTGCCCCTTGGCACTGCGTGTTCAACCTACACAACCCTTTGTCTCTTCACAGACTCTTTGGTGGGAAGGCTACCAAGCAAGTGCCCATCGCCACAGCTGAAAACATGAAAAATTCGGTGGTCATCTCTAATCCTCATGCCACCATGACTCAGCAAGGTAACCTAGACTCCCCGTCAGGCAGTGGGGTCCTGAGCAGCGGGAGCAGCAGTCCTCTCTACAGCAAGAATGTGGACCTCAACCAGTCTCCGCTAGCCTCCAGCCCCAGCTCAGCCCACTCGGCCCCTTCCAACAGCCTCACCTGGGGCACCAACGCCAGCAGCTCCTCCGCAGTTAGCAAGGATGGCCTGGGCTTTCAGTCTGTCAGCAGCCTCCACACCAGCTGTGAGTCCATCGACATCTCCCTCAGCAGTGGAGGGGGCCCCAGCCACAATTCTTCCACTGGCCTCATCACCTCCTCCAAGGACGACTCCTTGACTCCCTTTGTCAGAACCAACAGTGTGAAGACCACACTGTCAGAAAGGTTGGTGCTGTGCCTCTGGCTGCCTTTCTCAGAAAGACACCCTTCCAAAAGTAAAAAGATTAGCTGAGGAATCCCAAATGTCGAATAGCCTTTGCCTGTGAGATTTCTCTTTCTAATTACTGCTGTGTTTCATGGGGAAGCCAGTTTGGGATGGAATCAAGCTTGGCTCTGCTCCCTGTTATCTTTTCCTCTGTGGTTATTCTTGGTGCTTGGAGCTGCTCAGTCTCTCGGGGGCAGATTTATGCTACCATTTGAAATGGCATTCAGCTTTTGAAATCCTTCAGTTTTATCCTGTTCGTTCATCAACAGCTTCTTTTCCCTCCCCTTGTAATTGTGCAAGCAGAGCGGGTGACTGGGTGCAGCCATGGAGCGTGGAGTAGGACGCTCTTTAGACAGCTGGGTAGATTTGTTGTCATCGTGGCAAACACCCTCCTCCTGGACTGATAGGAAATCAGGAAATTAAAAGTGTACTCAGAGCCCTGGATTTCACTGCAGCAGGGATAAAGGTGTCCAGTTTCTGCATATAGGGAAGAAAGCGAGGATCAGCATGGGGAATGAGAAAAATGTATATAACAACACATCTCCTTTCTTCCAAGCTAATGTTCCTTCTCTTGTTTTCTACCTGCCTGGACTTCTAGCCCTCTCTCTTCCCCTGCTGCTAGCCCTAAGTTCTGCAGAAGTACTCTGCCCAGGAAACAGGACAGGTAATGACATTGCAGGCCGGGGACCCACCGAGCCTCTAGGTTCTTCTGCCCATTCGTTGTCAAGCCAGATGTCTTGTGCGAGGCTGTTGGCCTAAGGCTCCTGCTTGTGTTTGTGGTTCTAGTGTACTCTGTGACACATGGACATGCCAGTGAGAGTCTGTTCCTCTGTCTGCTAAAGCCCAGGGAGAGGTGGAGTTGGCCTGGCCCCTTCATTCCCGTTTTGGGAAGGCAACCTCAAACCCTGCCACTTGATCTGGGGCAGCAGAAGCTCTCGCTTGCATCTCTTGTGGCCTCCTGTGGCATGTTCCTGCTTTTCAGCTTCCTTCCCATTCCTTTTGCCACCCCCACCCCCAAGCCCAGAATTGACTTGCCACCCACTGTGTAGCTTGGCCCTCACCTTTGTCTACCCCTCCCCATGCAGCTGCCTCTTTTCCCTTTCAGAATCCTTTGCTGAAGTTTGGCTCATTATGTCTTGCAGACTGCTGTGTTCTGTGTGCCCATTTCCTGCGATGATAATGAAAAAGAATGTGTAGAGTGTTAAGACTTTACGAATGTACACGCTTGCGTTTGCCCCCAGCTGTGGGTGGGCCTCAGAGATGGATACTGACCTTAATGTTGTGGGGGAGTGATGGCTTGGCCAAATAAAACAAGCAGATGTTGTCTCCTGCCAGGAAAAAAAAACCAAAAAAAACCTTCACCCCATTGACAGTGAAAACTTTGTTTTTGTCAGCTCACGAACCAAGCCGTTAAACCGTTGGTCTTTAGAGATCCAAATGCTTTGACTTTATCAGCCAGCAAGTTGTAACATGCCCCACCCAGGACTCAGCTCCTAGCTATGCCTGGGCCGCAGAAATGGAGAGGGACCTGGAATTCACTTCGTTACAGATGAATTCCAAATATGTAGACTGCTGGCCTCTTGAAACCTCCGGCAAGTCCCTTCTCCCACTTGAAGTCATTGCCAGTGGCATTTAGTGGGTGGGCCAGAGTTAGGGGTGCAGGGAAGTGGGCATCCCTCTCTCTGAGAAGCCGTGTTGGTGCAGAGTGCTCCTGGGCAGCAGAAGGCACAGGACCTCTGCTTTGAGGTGGGGCAACCCCTGAGTTTTGCTTTGAATCTGTGGAAAAGGAGGAGCAATTGGGGTTAAGGGACTCAGGCTTCCTGGTAACCTGGGGTAAAGTATGCGCTGGTGTCAGCTCAGGCTGAGGACTGGGTTTCTTTTGTTTTCCACGGATGCGGATGTGTTGCATTGCATGCCTAGCTGGATAAGGCACTTCCTGGTGATGTGCGCCTCTCTCTCCAGGGCCCTTCAGCCTCCTCCCTAGCTTTCCCTCTTCCTGCCTTCTGTGTGCTGCTCTGAAGTTCTTATTTTTGTTTTAACTTTCCTACAGTGACCCGCACCTTGATAGGAACACTTTGCCTAAGAAAGGACTCAGGTATCTGTGTTTCCCCCCTTGCATCTGTGCCATCTGTTGTGGCTTTGGAGCTTGGCTGTGTGACTCCTTCATGGCTGGTGGGGGTTTGGACTGGGCCGGGGTCCCCGCTTTGACCACCACAGCAGGACCTTTTGGATGACGGCTCCCCTTGCACCCTCTCGTTCTCACTCTCCATTTGTCAGCTTACTTGCTTGAACAGGGGCTGTGCTTTTTCAGGCTTACTGTGGTAAAACCATCTCATGAAAAACATCCCTGGGCAAGCCCAGGGAGCAGTCATTGCTACTTCTGGGGCCAATGGGTTTAATTTCTGAGCACTTCACCATGACCATTCTGTTCATATGGCTGTCTTCCAAGAGAAAGGACATGACTTATAGCATACTGATTTGTAAGGTGGGACAAGAGCGCAAGAGGAAAGGAGTATTTTCCTCCAATTTGAAAATATTTAACTTTTCTGCCCATACAAAATTGCTAGACAGATAGTTTGCACTTGTCTAAATATTCTCATGGAAAATTGGTCCACTTTCAATGCCCAACAAGACCTGGGTGTGATCATTTTTTGGTGGATAATAAAGAAAAGACTCCCAGGAAGGACTGTCTTTCCATTCCTGGTAAGTGGTGGCTCAGGTTCATTTTTGATGCTAGTCCTGGCAAAACAAGATGCTATAAGTCACCATTGCTCACACCATCTATATCACTTTGCCAATCAGAGAAACTTCAGTTTGCTAATGCCTTCCCCGTGATCTTGCTGTCTGATGGTTGCAGCCGTCATTTCTCCTGCTTTCTAAACACCACGTGCCTTGTAGCATCAGCTTCACCCTGCACTAAGCATTAAGTGCTTTCGCATAAAATGGAACTTGGAATGAAATGTTTCATTGCTGTCATGTATGTCTGTAGTTAATAACCTGCAGCTCTTAAGACTGAGAGCATTCTGAACAGTAATGTGAGGTAGGTATCAATGCTTCCTTTCAATGGGAGCCTCTGAGTAAAGCCAATGCTAAGAATCTAAGAAGGAAAGTATTAAAATCTCCCAACAGTCGTCCTGCAGGAGGGAGTTGAGCAGTGTGGCCTTAGAGGGGGCCTTGGCAAGGCCTTTTGTACTTACCAGTTTCAGTCGTGCCTATGAGCTGCTTGTCAGCAACCATGTCAGGTGCTTAACTCATGGCCACTCTCACTGTGAGTTTGACTTTGATGCCCCACTGGTGCCCTTAGAGGAAGCTAACTTCTAAATGTTAACATTTTGAAATGGTGGGTATACTTCTGTAGCAGATCTAGCCTATCAAAATTATGTAGCTCTGGTTTTTTAAAAATTCAGAATAGAGATACATGACAGGCTATTTTCAGGCAATTGATGTGTCCTGGAAAGTTCCATGTCTGTCAGATATAGTAAAAACATTAAGGAAGAAGCATTTCTGTGCTCCCTCTCACTCTGACTCTTCCTTGTCTGGCTCACCCACTCCATACACATGAACAGCCAGTACGAACATACTGACAACATCTTTCCTTAAGCCCAAAGAATCCCTCTGTTGACATAATTAGTAGTCACTCCATAATACATAAGTCCGAGGATACCCTGGCCACTTGGCACTCAGAAATTTCAGATGCAGGCCAGACGCAGTGGCTCATGCCTGTAATCCCAGCACTTTGGGAGGCCAAGGTAGGTGGATCACTTGAGGTCAGGAGTTCGAGACCAGCCTGGCCAACATGACAAAACCCTGTCTCTACTAATAATACAAAAAATTAGCTGGGCATGGTGGCACATGCCTATAGTCCCAGCTGCTCGGGAGGCTGAGGTGGGAGAATCACTTGAACCCAAGAGGCAGTGGTTGCAGTGAGCTAAGATTGTGCCACCTCGCTCCAGCCTGGGCAATAGAGCAAGACTATATCTCGAAAAAAAAAAAAAAGAAAGAAAGAAAAAAATTTCAGATGCTACTTACGGGCATAATGAAAAGAGCATGCATTTTAACAATCAAACATGGATTGAAATCTCAACTCTGTGACTACCAGCAGGGTCCTTACCTTCCCTGAATGTAAAATGGGAATAATGGCATCTATGTTGCTGAGTAGATCTGAGGCTTTGATAAAGATAATGTGCATGAAGACACCTAACACGTTGTAGGTGTTCAATAAATCATCACCATATACATTTCAGAATAAATGAGGGTGGACCACGTAACTTCTGAAGACCCTCTCCTATAAAACCCAATGATTTGGGGTTGCTTTTGTGAAGATTTGTTTATGCTCTATTACAGCAACTACTATAAACATTAATGTCTTCAAACCTTGCTTTGTATGTCTGCTTTTTCATATGCTGTGATTCATGGTCGTTTATTTGTGCTATAGAATGGCAGATGCCATGAGTTGTCTAATTAAAACTCCCTCAAAGTACTAACAGCAACTCATTTTGTTGCTTCAGTCCTGTCAAGGTGGGAGCTTTGACATGACACTGTCATGAAGCAACATGTTACAGATACGCCCAGTGACGGCTCTTCTGAGCATTTACCAATCTTCTTCCCTTTATGTGTTCCCTCCAAACTGAAAGGAATAGTCATTTTCCCCGAACACAGGCAAATAGAAAAAAGGTTTTGAGAAACTTCGTAAGTTTCCGGGTGTGTAGTGATCTGATTTTTAAAAAAATCATCTTTGGATATATGTTTTCTTTTTAATATATTTACCATCAACTCCACAGAGTTCATTTTAATAAGTGTTGTTCATAGTTAATTCTGGCTTGATTTGTGTCTGTTAGGTATACTCCCACCTCCCAGCTTCGCACGCAAGAAGATGCAAAAGAATGGTTACGGTCCCACTCTGCAGGAGGCCTGCAGGACACCGCTTCCAATTCCCCCTTTTCCTCTGGCTCCAGCGTGACTTCTCCCTCTGGTACAAGATTCAACTTTTCCCAGCTTGGTGAGTAGCCACTTGTCATTAGCTGTATTGATCAGCTCCATAGGACAGTGTTTATCTTTTATATATAATATATTTTTATTTCAATAGTTTTTGGGGAACAGGTAGTTTTTGGTTACATGGATAAGTTCTTTAGTGGTGATTTCTGAGATTTTGGTGCACCCATCACTTGAGTTATCTTATATTGTGAAACAGCCATATAGTCACATCCTACTCAGTGTCTGATTAGCTCTCGGCAATATAGTTTGATTACAGAAGATTGATAGCAAAAGAAATAGAGAAAATAGTAAAGTTTTTGATACTCTAATCAATAATTTTCTTTATTTGGTTGATATTGGTAGGGCTATGGCAAAGAACATGTTATTGCATTCTTAAAAAGAATGCATTCTCTTTCTAAGACCTCTGAAGAAATAGATTTTATTGCATATCCCATGTTAGGTCATCCTCATTACTTTATTAAGTTAGAAATAAAAGTTAAGTTTTGATTGAATAGGTATTCTTAACAATGCCTACTTCTGACATAATGCTTTGACTGGCACAGTGGGGAAAGAAAAAGAATTTATGTCACAGTCCCTGCTGACATGTCAGTGGAATTCTTTTTCAGGAAGACAAACACATCAATGCACACCTGTATAATAGGGTAAAAGAGAACAATCCAAAGCTTTATATGAAACCGTGTAAAAGCTGAATATAATTAGATAGCAAGTATTAGACACATTTAGAAAAAGGAAAGATTAGTGCTGGCTGGAGTTACAGGCAGAGGTTATGTGAAGGTGGCAGGGTAGGAGCTGAGCCTTGAAGGACTGATAGCGGGTGAGAAATCTTTTCTAATCTCTTCTCACTCTTTAGAGAGGCAGCCTTTTCTGAATATAGTGAATAACAAATTCAGAGTCTTTAAGGATAGAGGTGGCTTGTAGTCAAGTGAGGTTTAACTCTTCATTTCTGATTGACTAAATGAGTACCTCTGAAAATATTGCACATAACTCAAATGGACAGGATTTTCATAAGAAAGCTAGTTTTAGCTGAGACAAATGTACCTTCCTTGCATTAAAACTCTTTATACACCATTATTAAATGTCTCCCATCTGAGGCAATGGGACCTGTGTTCATACTGTTCTTTCCCAGCCATAACTCTTTGAGGCAAGAGATTCTTGTCATGCACAAATGCTTCCCATCTGATCAAAAGCCTGGTTGGGCTATTTTGGGCTTTTGACTTTAGAGAAAATCATTCCAGATGAGCCTGAGGAGTAATTAGCTCATGCCTGGAAGGTGACACTGGCCTGTCTGAACGTGCCAAGTTGGAAAGCTGAGGCCCAGAGCCTTGCTTTGGAGCTGACCCGCCTTTCCACTCTTATTTTTAGCTCCCAGTGTGTAACTCAAATGCTGATGGGACTACTTTTTAGAAAACAGACAGGAGAAGAGTTGGCAGGAACACATATGGCTAACAATAAGCAGTCTTCTCTTTGTCCCCAACCAGGATTTGAACAGAGACATGAATGTCTAACCTTTTCATTCTATTCCTTTTATTCCAGCGAGTCCCACCACTGTCACCCAGATGAGCTTGTCCAACCCGACCATGCTGAGGACCCACAGCCTCTCCAATGCTGATGGGCAGTATGATCCATACACTGACAGCCGCTTCCGGAATAGCTCCATGTCCCTGGATGAGAAGAGCAGAACCATGAGCCGTTCGGGCTCATTCCGGGATGGGTTTGAAGAAGGTAAGGAAGGAAACTTACCATCTCCCAGGTTACTCACTGTCGTTAAGGGTCCTCTATGCTAAGTTCACTTCATTAACCTGAGCTCCCACCTGTAAGTGCTCCCACCGCTCCCACCTACTCTGGCGGTCAGGGATGAGGATCTCTGAAGAGTAAGGTCTGGCCTGACCCTTAATTAACCTTCCAGGCCTTTAAGGAAGAGGCTGCTTAAAAATCACTGGTGAACCATAGAGCTGAGTTCCACTTTAGGCTTCTCCCTCCTGGACTTGGGCCACAGCTTCTTGGCATGCGCCTCTACCTTGAGGCTCAGCCACCGGCTCACCATCTTGGCAGAGAGAACTACTGCAGAGTTCATTTCCCTGTGTTGACACTCCCATGTAGTTCTAGGGGCCGGGTGGCCATACCTCTCTGCTCTGCTCCAGAATTTTTCATCCCTTTTCTCAAGCACTGGGTTTTTACATGTATTGTTTTCAGTTATGCCTTTTTATTTCTTTGGTTGCTAACTCTGAATATTTGGGGTTGGATTTTTATGTTTGGTTCATTTTCATCAGAATCATGGGAGAAAAGTTCTGTGGACAACTTTGTCAGCCGTTTTCACAGCTCACTTCATTTCTCTCTTCCTTTATTCCGTCACCCAAGGTATGAGTTAGGGGAGTAAGCAGTCAAAATTCTATGGAAGATATCACCCCCACCCCATGAAGATAGGGCTGATAGGACATTGGCAGCAATGCTCATCAACCGAGGATTAAGAATAGGAGTCAGACTAGCAGAGTTTAAATTCCAGCTCCACTGCTTTTTAGGGATATGATTTGGAGCAAGTTGCTTCACCTCTCTATGCCTCTGTTTTTTCACGGATAAAATAGGAGTGAGTAATAATAGTATTCAGCTCATGGTATTATGAGAATTAAATGAGATAATACATATAAATGTTAACACAATAATGTTATTACATGTCATGGCCTGTAATAACACAGCCATAAAGCTATAATAACATAGCTGTTAAAACACAGCTTCAGCATTGACTTCCTGGCAGCTCAAAGTCCCCCGCCAGAGAATGGGGAATCTTGGAGCAAATGGAGCCTAGTCTGAGGACTATACATCTAGTTGTCCCTTTGTTGCCATTGACAAAACAGAATGCGGACGGTAAGTTAGAGGTGCTTCCCAGTCCCCGTATGAGTAGGGAAAAAGGGCCAGCATCCTCCCAGCATGAAAGAACAAACAAACCTGTAATTGTTTAGGAAGTTTCAAGTCAAAAGGGAGAGAAACACAAGGCACAGGATTCTGTTTTTGCCTAATGTTCTTTTTAACAGAAGTTTTAAAGAATGTAATTTACAGAGCAATTGCCCCCTGGTTTATTTTCTTGGTAACTTAATACTTTCCACCCTGATTTATGTATCATTTGCATACCATGACATTCAGTGAACAGGTACAAGTCTGTAAATCCATATATGGGAAGCTGCTAGGACGAAGGATTAAGGAGGGGAGAAGCCTGAGTCACTGAGGGGCATTTGTGAGATTTAAGTGCTACAAATTAATGCTATAACTGCTCAGAACAGTGATAGTAGACAATATATTGTGATCCTAAGGTGAAGGAAGAGGCAGTTTGTCTCAAACTTCCTTCTAGTCAGTGTACCGGCCAAGCATCGCCTCAGAGCATTCCCCAACCTCCCCGGGAAAGATTTGCATATGGAGTTTGTCCCGCACTGTATTTCTCTTCTCTACCATGTGCGTTCCTGAGTGAACCACGTCCAATACTGAAACTTGTCCAAACAAGCACACTTCACCTCATAAAGGTCCAGGACCATTACAGTATCGTCATCAGATAGCTTTTATTTATTCCATCTGGAATCAAGCTGGTGGACAGCACAACTGTGGAATATCTGGAATGTCAAAATGACATTGATAAAAAGTGCTTGTCCACAAGCAGTGTCTAGACTTTTGTAAACCTAATGATTCATGGTGACATGGAACTGAAGCACAGAGGTAAAACTCAAATTTTAGGGGAATGGGTAGGGTCTGCTGTCAATACATTGTGAATATGTAACATTATCATCTTTTGGAAGATAAGGCATCAGATTGATTTTATTCCTTCTAAGGATATTACATTCAAAAACAAAATGGGGCTTGTGTAATTAGGTTTTTAATTCCTTTTGATGAAATTCTTTTTCTTTTGAATTTATTAACTCCCAGTGTTGCAGGAGCAGTTGGAAGAAAATTGACATTTCATGTTTGGACCAAACAGAACTTCTTGTAATAATCAGTTAGGTGTATTATACGCCATAAAGCAGAATAGAAATTTAGGAAGAAGTAGTGCAAGTATTTATGTGAGGTTTTTGTGCAATTTAATTAGCACTTTCCACTTTGAAATTTTAGGAATCATAAATATGTAGATTAGGTACAGACATGGCCTAGATGCAGCCTTTCAAAGGTATTTCAGGTAAATTGCTTTCTATCAGATGCATTATGCGATCTTAAAGTCAACTTTAATAGCATACATTTAAGGGGATGCTTGAGGCATTTTTAAAATGCATTCTAGAGAAAAAAAAAATCCCATGACTTCACCAATCATCACTAAGATCTAATGCAATGAAAAACACAGAAACCCTCCTCTATCAGTTTATATGGAATCCCCAGGAGCAGAGAAGCTTATTAAACAAGAAAGCTTGTATTACAGCTTACTTGTGTTTCTAGCCCCTGAATTGCAGAAGTGGTTCAAATCCTGGCACCTCTACTGTTAGCAATGTGACTCTGAGAAAGGACTTGACCTGCTCAGCCTGTTTCCTATTCACTGAAATGTGAAAAATAATTGTACATGCTTTGGAAAACTGAAGTGAAGATTAAGTGAGATAAATCTTGGAAAGCATTTAACAAATAACTTTGAAAGGGGAGTATTGTAAGTGCTCACTCAATGGTAGCTATTGTTATAATTGTCACATTATAGCCTTCTCTCCAAGGGCCATTATCATCCTCATTTTTTTTAATGGCCAAATTGAGGCAAAAGTGACTTGAAGACTTTATGCAGCCACAATGATGCCTTAAGCCTCTTGATTCCAGTCCCTCTTTCTTTCCACTCAATCCTACCTTGATATTTGACTCAGCTGGGTTTTTTTTAAAAAAAGAAAAAAAAAAAAAAAAAGCCTGTGCGAGGCGAGCTCTGATCTTTCAGGGCAGTCCATTAGCCATCAGAACTGCATTTCATTCTTCTGACTCTTTCCACAGTACCCAATTGTGGAATGAGAAATAGATCATGATGTCTAGATCTACATTCTCTTTCTGCTCCTGACTAGCTATGTGTCTGGCCACATCACTTAACCATTCTGAGATTTAATGTACTCTGTTGTTGATTAAAGGTGGAAAAGTTCTGCCTAGTCTGGGATTGCTACCTGCAGATTCTCTGTGAGAGTCAGAGGCACTTGATTGCTTTATTGGCTGAAATATGCCTAGTTGTTTCATTCTATCTAGCGTTTTCACTCCTACTAAAGCATCTTTCTTCTCAAACATTCCTAGCTTGTGCCCACGTGTAGATTGCATGAAGGGACTGGGACACCATTCTAAAAGACACCAAAAGGCTCTTTTGAAAAAAAACAAACGAATGGAAAAGAAAATCAGAAACCGTTAAAACAGATCACTCGAAGGCAGAGCGATCTCCTGACTTCTATCAGCAGATCCTGTTCTTGAACTGCTGTGTGACCTTAAGCAAGTCATTTAACCTCTCTGAGTTTCAGATTTCTCAATGGCAGAAATGGCCTAGATATTCTCTGTGGTTCCTTGTAGCTGAAAAAATGTGGAGGTATAGCTATAGGGAGGAAAACTACATAGGCTGCTTTAGCTGTTTAGCCTCTGTAACTCCCATAGACATTTTGTTGTCCAAAAATAACCACATTACATAACCCAGGCTCTGACTTGGCTCAAGTCCCTTGAGGGAGGCCCAACTGCAATGGTACAGGTAAGCCACATTCAGTTTTGGGTTGACTCTGAAAATCAAGGAATCTGTCTCTTTGGAACGCAGTCTTGCTGTTGCTAATTACAAAGTGAGAGGAGTTAATTATTGAGAAAAATAATTACCTCTACCTTAAGCCTGCCAGATGTGATCTTCTCTGCTTGTGGCCCCATGCTTGCACTGAGTTGTTGCTAAAACTGTGTCAGTAAGTTTATATGTGTGAGATGTAGAAATAGAAAAGAAAAAACTTCCATTTTCCAGCAGCCAGAGGCCATATAGCAGCCCTGTGCTGGTCTCTGGCAGGCCAATCATGCAAGTGTGCATAGCTATATGTTACCCACATCTCTTCACCCAACTTGACCTCCAACATAATTCCTCCACTACTGTCTGTGTCATAAGCTGAATTAACTTACCTCAGTGGAACATTAGGCCACTAAGTTGGAACATTAAGGCCTATGTTAATGTGTGGACATATTAACACTGAAAGCCATTGTTGGCCATTAACACCTTAACCTGATTTTTTATGGGCATGAGTCAGGTTAGTCATGGATGAAGAAAGCATGGAGGAAAAGATCTAGAATGCAGGGCATTGCTAAGGAGGGTGGATGTATGTGATGATAGAGGGACAGCTTAGAGCATTAGGGAGCTGCTAAGAGAGAAGAGAGCTGGAATAGCAAGCCTAGAGTTACGTGGGCTCAGAGGGAGGAGGAAGCCCACCCAGGTGGCAGTCAGGGGAATGAGGAAAGGTCCCATAGAGAAGATGTCATTTGAGCAGATCTGTTTGGGATAGACAGTATTTAGATGCAGCCTAAATGAAGAGAACTGCATGGGCAGAGACACTGAGGCAGGGAAGTACTGTCTAGGGCAAGCTTGGGAGAGCAGTGCAGGATTCATAGTGTGACAAGAACATATAAGGGAAGAAGGAGAGGTCAGGGAAGATTTACTGGAAAGATGACAGAGAGGAGCCTGAGTGTTAGGCTGAGCTACTTATCAGCTATCAGTCAGTTGGCATGTAGCTTCTGCTGACTGCTAATCCAAGGTGAGTTCACTTCGTGGGTGGTAGATGAATGCCATTTAGTAGACGTGGAAGTTACCCCTGTGCCTCCCACTTTAGACTACAGGTCATAACTCGGTGTGGGAGTCAAGCCATTCCACCCACGGCCAGGAAAGCTGTGCCCAGTTAAAAGTCCTATGATGCCTTAGCATAGGAATATTTCTGTTCTTCAAACAAGTTGTTCAGAAGTTACCAAGAAAATAAAGAACTTGCCTCCCACAAAAGAAGGCAGTTAGAATACCCAAGTCCTAGAAAAGACTATGCTGTTAAATTAGAACAAATAATAAGATGCCTCCACTGGCTGGGGGCAGGAGGGGTGCTAAGGACATACAAGTTGGTTCTAGTCAAAAGTACCAGTTTGAAACAGAAAAGAAGACACTACTTGCTTGTCACTTTGTAGACATGGTAGAAATCAAATAAAGAATCTATATTTCGATGAATATGTTTTCTAAACAAATATTCTGCTATATGGTCATCTAGAATGAACTCACCGTGGCCAACAGCCTCTTAGGTTCAAAATAATCAGCTCATTGTTTTTGCATATACAACTGACAGATGCCAACAGGGTAAAAAAAAAGTATATGGAACACAGTCTTAACCCTAAAGGAATACGTTAGAAAAAAGAGTGAAGCAAAATATGCTAGAAAGGTAAGATTGCCTCCGGGCAATGCAATTGTGAGTCACTGCAGGTTGTGACAGTGAATATGCTTCTTAACACTTCTCTGTACTTGAAAATTTTTGTTCAGTAATCATATATTATTTTGACAGTTAAGAGAAAAAGTATTCAGAAGGTTGAAGGAAAAAATGCGGTAATAGAAAAGTGACATCCTTAGCAAACTCGTACTTATTTGTCACTGACCTTTCACCAAACCAGGAAAGGTTGGGTCCAGATGAGATTAAGTCATTCCAAGCCTGGAGTGTCCTGTATTGCTGATTTTTTCCTCCTCTGTCCCCTTTTTGGTACCATAACAGCCATCTATCAATTCACCCTTTTTTTTCTTTTAATAGTTCATGGATCCTCACTCTCCTTGGTTTCCAGTACGTCGTCAATTTATTCTACAGTGAGTATAAATCAATGCTGTGTGGCTGTGATCATGAGATCATGAGGCTGGGGTTCCTTTATCAAATGTGTCAAGAATAAAATATATGCATCTATCCTACGGAAAGCATTTCCATTATAAGAGGATCAACTAATTAGGGAACAAGATTTAAAATTCACAGACAGCTATTAATTATATTATACCAACCCCAAAATCCAGAACTGGCTGCCTTGTTAAAGTGGCATTGTGCTCTAGGTGATAACTATTTAGAATGTGTGAGAAGCCTTGGCCACCTGCTGAGGGACTTGGAAAACAAAGGCCTTGAGCAATTTATTAACACTTTGTCTGCCTCAGTTTCTTTCTTTCTTTCTTTCTTTCTTTCTTTCTTTCTTTCTTTCTTTCTTTCTGTCTGTCTGTCTGTCTTTCTTTCTTTCTTTCTTTCTTTCTCTCTTTCTTTCTTTCTCTCTTTCTTTCTTTCTCTCTTTCTTTCTTTTTTTTTGAGACAGAGTCTTTGCCCAGGCTGGAGTGCAGTGGTGTGATCTTAGCTCACAGCAACCTCCACCTCCTGGGTTCAAGTGATTCTCCTGCCTCAGCTTCCTGAGTAGCTGGGACTATAGGCACGTGTCACTATGCCCAGCTAATTTTTGTATTTTTAGTAGAGACAGAGTTTCAACATATTGGCCAGGCTGGTCTCAACCTCCTGACCTTGTGATCTACCCACCCTGGCCTCCCAAAGTGCCGGGATTATAGGAGTGAGCCATTGTGCCTGACCAGCCTCAGTTTCTTTATATATAAAGTAGAAATAATAGCAGTCCCTACCTTATAGAGGTGTAATGAGGATTAAATGTTATGAAGATTACATTTCACTACTATATAAACTCTTTCTAGACAAGGACATTTTTGTTTTTATTCCTAGTGCCTAGAATAGTACCTAGCACATAGTAGGTATTTTTAAAGTAGGTTTGAAAGAAATGGGAAAATGAATCTAAAACAATGAATATTGTACACACAGCTCAGAGCAAGCACTCCTAAATGCTAGATGTCATCCATGAGAGAGGTTTACTGAATGAAAGCCAAATATAATCAAATACATTTGGATCTTCAGTACTACTGGATTTATTCAGTAGTAATAATCAGCTCATTTTTTTTGCATATACAACTGACAGATGCCAACAGGGTAAAAAAACACATCTCTTCACCCAACTTGACCTCCAACATAATTCCTCCACTACTGTCTGTGTCATAAGCTGAATTAACTTACCTCAGTGGAACATTAGGCCACTGAGTAGCTGGAATTACAGGTATGCACCACCACACCTGGCTAATTTTTTTTACATTTTTTGTAGAGACAGGATTTCACCATATCAGCCAGGCTGGTCTCGAACTTCTGACCTCAAGTGATCCACCCATCTCAGCCTCCCAGAGTGTTAGGATTACAGGCGTGAGCCACCACACATGGCCAGAGCTGTATGCTATTTACTTTAAAAATAGTAATTTGGGAATGTCTACAGGAAAAAAAAAAAAAGTCTCTTTGTTAGTTGTGAATTGGAAATTCTTTAGCCCTTAATCCCATGGAAACAAATGTTTTAATAATTTAGATTTTGATAATGCCCAGTTTCTGGTCTATATAGCAGGATACACTGTGTATAGCTCCTGGAAAATAAGAGGCCACCCCAGAATCAAGTTAAAGATACCAGGGCCTAACTGTTCTTTCTTAGGCCTGTAGTGAGCAAATGATCTTCAGTGATTGCTGATATGGTCTGTTTTGAAGGACCTAGAAACTCTTGCTTCTACTCTTCCTAACTACCTCACCCCTCCAACTCTAAAATTCCTCTTTCCTCAGCTAGTCATCTTGTTTGAAATTTCATCACCAAGTCCTAGCTTTCCTTTTAAAGGCTTTATACAGAAAAACTTTGGAGAGAGGTTTTTTAAGCCATGATCTACTAAGAAAGCATAGAGATCGTCTTTCAGCTGTCAGCCAGTAGATAAACTATGTCCTTTCTTCTAGAATGAAACTGTGGGATATGGGTACCAAGGTTGGTACTTTTAAACCTAAATTCATTTCTTCAACAGTATTTTCTGGCATCATAGATATGCCTGGCTCTAGACTAACACCTAGGATATAATTTAGGAGAGAAAGGAGCCTGCTACTGAAGGAGGAAGCTGTAGGCACCAGAGGGACACGGGACTCTAGCTTCACAGGACTGGTGCAGAGAAGCTGTAGTGGATAGTTCAGTGCCCAGCCCCGTGTTTCCCCTGTGGCATTCTCAGGGGTTCTTGCCAACACAGAGGGGAGTGGGCCTTTCAGAAAAGTAAAACCTGGGAGACTGGCCAGCATTAGCCAGCCTTGGAGGGAAAGAGCATAAGCTTCTCAACCTGTGTGTCTTCAGATCTAGGAAACTGTCACATGCAGTTCCTGGGGGCAGCCCCTTCATGCCAACCACTAGAATTCCTTCCAGTAAAAAACTCTCTTTCAGTAGCTATTGTTCTGGGTATGGGGACATGAAGATAGTGTTTTCATGAAATTTGAAATTGTCTTTTCTGAGCTGATATAAATTCAACAAATTAGCAAAGACCTAATAATAATACTTTTTAATTCCATTTTTTATCTGGATAACAAGAGCCCTGAGGTGTAATCATAGAGTTCGTCTCACCATGTGACTTTGGACAAATCACCTAGTTATTCAGAGTGTCTCCCCAGTTTTGCCCTTGGCATCAGGAAACTGAGCAAGGTGATCTTCTGAGGCCCTTACAATCTCTGACATTCCACGAGTCATGGAATCAAAGGCTTCCATTTACTGTCCTCACATATGCCTTCTCTGAGAATATAGGTTACTTTTGCAGACTTAAAAAAAAAAATAGCCTATCAGTTGAATGTTTTTATGCTGGTGCAGCCTACTAATTTCAAGAAAAACTGCAAGTCTGGCGAGACTGCTACCACCCAGCACTGAGGTGTGGTCCCTTATCTATTATTACCTTCTTGGTGATAATGAAATTCTGAAATACATGCTCCAGGCACCTTTGTAAACCTTAAGGTGAATAAAATTCTTGTTTGTTGTCTGAAAAGAGATCTTTGAAATGTTAAGTTGCCACAGACCCAGACCAAGGAACCTGCTTAATAGCTGAGAGTTTTAAAGGCTCTTACTGGATGACAGTAGGTTCTTTCCTTGAAATCTCTGTAATGAATATTCAAGAATGCTCATTCTGCATGAAATTTGCCTGCAATTTTAATTATCAGTGAAAGAAAAGATTACAGAGTGCTAAATAATTGCCATGGAAAAGTTATGGCTAGCTCTTAGAGTAGAGAAAATCTCAAAGGCCACCTCTGGCCTTAGACTTGCTTTCTTGTTTGGTAGGGAATACTTGAGTTCCCAGGAGAGCTGCTGGATGGATGGAGGCTAGCAGCTTCACATAGTGTTACCAGATCTGCAGAACTGCAGCAACGGGGACAAGATACAAAGCACATGCTTTCTCTAGGCTGCTGTTGATAATGGGGGCCCAACCCCAGAGACAGGTGGGCACAGTGACAGACAGTGGCAGAGGCATGGGGAAGGGCTATTAGGGCCTGTCTATGGAAGTGTTTCAAAGTAGGACTGGTCCTATGTGGATGGTTAAGCCTGCTAACAGGCCTCCATCAGCCTTCCAAATGTTAGATAGTGGTGACATTCTCACCATTAACTTGTACCCTTTGGATTGAACTTGGGGCTTCTTTCTGGAAAGCCCCCATGAGAATGTAGCTATAGTAAAAGTGCAGGAGAATATGCATAGGCTCTGGAGCCAGACTACTTTAGATCCAGTCTCAACTCTGCCACTTACCAGCTGTGACCCTGGGCAAATTACTGAACCTTCCTGTGCCTCAGTTTCCTCATACACAAAACAGAAAGCAATAGTATTAGTACCTCCTCAAAGAGTTGTTATAAGGATTAGATGAATAATGAATGTAAAGTGCTTGGAACAGTCTCTGGCACATGATAAGCATTCAATAAATGCTAGCTGTTATTACCAGAATGCAGGCAACACAAGGTCAGGGACTTGGTCGTGTTCACAGCTTTATCTTAGGTTCTTAAAAACAGTGCCTGGCACACAGTAGGAAATCAGTAAATATTTGATAGGTGTGATAGTGATGATGGATGGACAGACAGACAAAGATGAATGAATATTACCTGAGAGGGAAGAGTGAGCTCTGAGGACATCTTCCAACCTTCTCCTGAAAGCATTTCTTAGATAAGGAGGTTGCTCAGTGTGACTTTATACAAGACACTTAACCTCTCTGAACCTCAGAAGGAATACAAACAAACCTACCTAATGGAGTTTCTGCAAGGATTAAATGACTTGGCTCCATGTATTTAAAAATTGGTTGCTGCTATTAGGAGCCAACCTAGAGGAGGGGGCTTGTGGGCAGGATAAGGAGGGAGGACAATGGGGAGCACAGGGTGAAGGGAGATCAGACAGGAAGCAGCTGCCCACCTATTCCAGCTGATGGATGTGCTCTGTGAGTTCTAATGAATCATACCCACATTGTATTGTGAACTAATGGAGACGTTGACATCAGGGTCAGATGCTGATTTTTTAAAAATAATGGGCTTATCCCTAGTAAAATTGGATTAGGACACTTAGGGAGGACCCCAAAGACAGAATAGAGTTCTTACTGATGTTCACTTACCTACCTGGTTCCCAAGTCACTCTTCCCTCCCTGGGGAAATTAGAGCAATGGGTAGAGAGAAGGTCGAACACTCAACATTTCCAAGAAGGAGGAGGGATCCTCTTTATGAGCCCCTGTGGGAACTAGAGGAGAGGGAAAGAAAGGTTCCTCCTGCAGTGGGTTCCCCAATTCATGTGGGCTCCCACTATGGGAGGAGAGAGGGTCTTATAGTTTCTGGCTAGCAGGTACCTGTGTCACCACAGACACAGAGCCAGCATGGAAGGGACAAAGAGGGAAGCCAGTAAGAGGGGCAACAGAGTTCACCCTTACTCCACAGGGGTCACAGGTAATTGGGGTCCTTGAAATGGGACAGCATGAGGATGAAGGCCACATTTATCCCCACAACCTGTGGAGTTACTGGGCTGGCTAATAGGGGCTCCCAAACCCCCCTCACTTTGAGGTCTTTCTACCCTGGTGCTCCCACTGCAGTGTCCTAGGGAAGTGAGAGGAGGGCAGAAAATGGGGCAGAATTAACCCAGGAGCAGTCTTCTTTGCTCCCTAGAGTAAACTAAGGCTCAAGCTGGGAATACCATAGCAAAAACTCCAGGCGAATGACTAATGTGGGAGACTGACTCAGTTTCCTAGTTGAAAGAAGACAGCCTTTTAAAGTTGGTTTCCATTTTAACAGCATGCTGTGGTCAGGCAGGTTGCTTTCTGTCTGGCTTGAACACATTTATCAATGGGCTCAGACTGGGTGGTAAACTCCTGGGCAGCAAGCCTTGCCTCAGAAGCACCTTAGTACCTTTTGATACCTCAGGCTCTGCCTTCTGAGCTTCAGTCTTCACCTGATCACAGCTGTGCATCAGACAGGGCTATACAGACAGGGCTGATGGGGATGGCGGATGGAGCACCTCTGCCTCTACTCTGATCCTCTATCTGAAGTTGCCAGAGAAAATACAAAGCACTCAATATGAAATTTAGATTAACAACTAAATTTTTTTAGTATAAATATGTCCCTAATATTGCATGGGACATATTAGACCCTTTATTTTATTTTATATTTTATTTTGTTTTATTTTTTGAGACGGGAGCCTCTGTTGCCCAGGCCAGAGTGCAGCAGTGAGATCTCGGCTCACTGCAATCTCCACCTCCTAGGTTCAAGCCATTCTCCTGCCTCAGCCTCCCGAGCAGCTGGGATTACGGGTGCATGCCATCACACCCGGCTAATTTTGTGTGTGTGTTTTTAGTAGAGGTGGGTTTCACCATGTTGGCCAGGCTGGTCTTCAACTCCTGACCTCAAGTGATCCACCAACTTCAGCCTCCCAAAGTACTGGGATGTCAGGTATGAGCTACTGTGCCCAGCCCTAGACTTTTTTTTTTTTAAGCTATTCAAATTTAACAAGGCCTCCTGTATTTTTATTTACTACATCTGACTCATGGCCTTCTCCTCACATATCTTCTCCTGAGCACCTTACCTATCCCCATCCCCTGGGGAGCAGGGTGGCTCCTCACCACCAAAATGTGGCATGGTGTTCTCATTCTTCCTAATTTTTAAAAATCATAAGCTGTTTGTATTTGGCCTTTCTGATGGGTCCATTTAATTGAACCAGTTTTTCCAGAGAAATACACCAGAAAAGAGACGAATAAATCTTCCAGACGGCTGCAACTATCTGAATATGGTGTTCCCGATGGGCTGGACATCACTATTCTTTGTTCCTTAACTGGTCTAATTTCCTTTATGTTTTCTTTGCAGCCAGAAGAAAAATGCCAGTCAGAGGTAAGGAACAGCTTCCTGGTTGGACTTTCTCTTTAACTATTGTCAATCATTTGACCCTGCTCACCTTGGAAATGGCCTCCCAAAGCATGTAACCCTCTCCCTTGCCATCTTCAGATTCGCAAACTGCGGCGGGAACTGGATGCCTCCCAGGAGAAAGTTTCAGCTTTGACCACCCAGCTGACAGCAAATGTAAGTACAGACATAGGGCAGTAGCATCGGGACAGGAAGCACCATCCTTGCCTTCTGAACAGCCTCAAGTCCTCCTGTGCTGAACAAATAGAAGTAGCACATTATAAAGAAAAAGACACAGGCTTTAGCATCATGGGTGTGAATGTCAGTTTGGACACTTACTGGCTCTGTGACTTTGGGTAAGTTCTTGAATCTCAGCCTGCATGTCCTCATCTGTGTAACAAGGTTGATAGTATTTACCTCTCAGTATTGGCCCATGGTCAATGCTTGCAATATACGAAGTGCTTATTAAAATGTTAATTTCTCTTCCTCTTTCTGAAAATTTTGATTTTAAGGGTGGGAAAAAAAGCAAAAAGGAAAGAAGCAGGAAGAAAAGAAATGCAGGGCTTCGCAATATGTAGGTAGCTGCTCTGTCATTGTAATACACACAATTATGTGTTTAGGAGATGCTGCCAACCAGCATTCAACTCAACAACTGTTTGAGTGCCAGCTATGCCCCGGGCACCATGGGTTCAACAGCAGAGCAAGCACAGTGACTGACATCTTAACATTCAGTCTCTGGGACAGCAGAGAAACAAAACAAACAATTTTGCTATAACATGATAACTGTTAAGATAAAGGGAGGAGATGGTAGTGGGAATATCTAGGGGGAGCACCTAGCTCACTCTTGGTGAGGGATGAAAAAGGGGACAGCTCATCAGATATTGAAAATAAGAAAAAAAAATTTTTTTAAAGGGGGACAGGAAGGACTTCCTGGAGGACGTGACATCTAATGGATGCTATGTAGGGGAGAATGCATAGGGATGACAGCATTCTAACCAAAGAGAATAATTTGCAGAAAGGTTAAGGAGAAAGATCTTGGTGTATTTCAAACTCTCAGTAGGTTGGTGTAATTAGTGTCTGTGGCTTGGATGTGGAGAAGAGGTAAGGGTGGAGAGGGGACACAAGTAGGGAGGAAGAAGGCATCGAAGAAAGCCAAGAGTCAGATCACAGGGTCTGAGCTGTTGGGGTGAGCATCCGGGCTTCCTCCTGAAGTTAGTAGAGACCTCTCAGTGAGTTTTAAGTAAGCAGTGGGTGGGCTGGTTTGCACTTTAGACAGAGGATCAGAGTAGAGGCAGAGGTGCTCCATCCGCCATCCCCATCAGCCCCGTCTGTATAGGAGCTCTGATGCACAGCTGTGATCAGGTGAAGACTGAAGCTCAGAAGGCAGAGCCTGAGGTATCAAGAGGTACTAAGGTGCTTCTGAGGCAAGGCTTGCTGCCCAGGAGTTCACCACCCAGTCTGAGCCCGTTGATAAATGTGTTCAAGCCAGACAGAAAGCAACCTGCCTGACCACAGCATGCCGTTAAAATGGAAACCAACTTCAAAAGGCTGTCTTCCTTCAACTAGGAAACTAAGTCAGTCTCCCACATTAGTCATTTGCCTGGAGTTTTTGCCATGGTATTCCCAGCTTGAGCCTTAGTTTACTCAGGGGAACCATTTCTCTTTAAGGGTGGCATGTGGCATACCTAGTACAGTACTTGACCTTAGTTACCAGCTCAGTAACTGGTAGCTGCCCCCATTAATATGTAGTCTCCCAAGTTATCTTTCTTTTCTGGAAATCTTTGATTTTTTAAAGAAAAAACCCTAACATGTGAGACCGCAATGTGTTTCGTAACCTTTTATTTTCTTTACCTCTTCTACCACCAGTAATGCTATCAAAAGAACTTTAAAAACTGACATGAGAACTTAATTCTGAGGCGTAGGTCCTGTTCAGAAAAACAGTATTCTATAGGTAGGTTCTATTCCACGGACAGATTCTTCATCTGGATAACCAGGTGTGTAGATTTGGATCCAGAACAAACTCTAGACCCAGCAAGTCAGGGTCTTCTGGGTGTAATCCAAATGTGTGGTCTGACAGCAAACCCTGTCAATCCACAGTGATTCTGAGCTACTCTCCTAGTTTAAGAGTTACAGATGCCAATTGTTGCCTTTACTAGTCAACAAATACTAGTTAACTTACTTTCCAGTGAACTTGGGTTAATCGCTCCAGTGACCTCGTGCTGCCACAGGAGCCTCACCTTGGGCTGTTTGGAACTCTGCTTTCTGTTCTAGAAGAGTCAGAGTGAGATCCCTTATATTATTCCAGAAGAGTGTTTTGTTCCTCATAAAAGGCACTGAATCCAGTATTGTTTTAAAGTAAATATTTAGTCTTACCGCACACTGATGGAAGGGTGAACATGTTTTATTGTCTGCCATCTTTCTCGCAAACCAAGCTGTGTTTGTTTTTCTAGGACAAACTACTCAAAGCCACCTTCTCTGAGTGTTTTTATACCACTTGTGTTTGTTTTCCCTGGGAATGTGAGCATGGCACTTGATGAGTAGGCTGTTGTGTGTGGCTCTGAACCAGGCTTGGAACTGCCTCCACAGCTTGTATTTTCATAGTTGTGCTAATGACACAAAGGCAACCCTTTTGCTTAACAGAAAAATGGGATCCTCTGGATCTCTAGAGCAAATGTGTTTTCTTTTTAAGCTTGCAAAAACACCTTCTCAATAGCAGTCTTCATGGAGTCAGGTTTAAAAAAATTTTTTTTTTTTTTTTTTTTTTTTTTTTTTTGAGACGGAGTCTCGCTCTGTCGCCCAGGCTGGAGTGCAGTGGCCGGATCTCAGCTCACTGCAAGCTCCGCCTCCTGGGTTTACGCCATTCTCCTGCCTCAGCCTCCCGAGTAGCTGGGACTACAGGCGCCCGCCACCTCGCCCGGCTAGTTTTTTTTTTTTTTTTTTTTTAGTAGAGACGGGGTTTCACCGTGTTAGCCAGGATGGTCTCGATCTCCTGACCTCGTGATCCGCCCGTCTCGGCCTCCCAAAGTGCTTGAGCCACCGCGCCCGGCAAAAAATTTTTTTTTTTATTATACTTTAAGTTCTGGGATACATGTGCAGAATGTGCAGGTTTGTTACAATAGGTATACACGTGCCATGGTGGTTTGCTGCACCCATCAACCCGTCATCTATATTAGGTATTTCTCCTAATACTATCCCTCCCCTAAGTCCCCGCCCCAACCCCCTGAGAGGCCCTGGTGTGTGATGTTCCCCTCCATGTATCCATGTGTTCTCATTGTTCAACTCCCACTTATGAGTGAGAACATCCAGTGTTTGGTTTTCTGTTCTTGTGTTAGTTTGCTGAGAATGATGGTTTCCAGCTTCATCCATGTCCCTGAAAAGGACATGAACTCATCCTTTTTTATGACTGTATAGTATTCCATGGTGTATATGTGCCACATTTCTGTATCCACTTTATCATTAATGGACATTTGGGTTGGTTCCAAGTTTTTACTATTGTGAACAGTGCCACAGTAAACATACATGTGCATGTGTCTTTAGTAAAATGATTTAAAATCCTTTGGGTATATACCCAGTAATGGGATCACTGGGTCAAATGGTATTTCTAGTTCTAGATACTTGAGGAATTGCCACACTGTCTTACATAATGGTTGAACTAATTTACACTCTCACCAACAGTATAAAAGCGTTCCTATTTCTCCACATCCTCTCCAGCATCTGTTGTTTCCTGACTTTTTAATGACTGCCATTCTAACTGACATGAGATGGTATCTCATGTGGTTTTGATTTGTGTTTCTCCATATGTTTGTTGGCTGCGTGTTCTCTTTTGAGAAGTGTCTGTTCATATCCTTCGCCCACTTTTTGATCGGGTTGTTTGTTTTTTCTTGTAAATTTGTTTAAGTTCTTTGTAAATTGTTTAAGTTCTGGATATTAGCCCTTTGTCAGATGGATAGATTGCAAAAATTTTCTTCCATTTTGTAGGTTGCCTGTTCACTCTGATTATAGTTTCTTTTGCTGTGCAGAAGCTCTTTAATTAGATCCCTTTTGTCTATTTTGGCTTTTGTTGCCATTGCTTTTGATGTTTTAGTCATGAAGTCTTTGCCCATGCCTATGTCCTGAATGATATTGGGTAGGTTTTCTTCTAAGGTTTTTATGGTTTTAGATTTTAGGTTTAATTCTTTAATCTATCTTGAGTTAATTTTTGTATGAGGTGTAAGGAAGGGATCCAGTTTCAGCTTTCTGCCTATGGCTAGTCAGTTTTCCCAACACCATTTGTTAAACAGGGAATCCTTTCCCAATTGCTTGTTTTTGTCAGGTTTTGTCAAAGATCAGATGGTTGTAGATGTGTGCATTATTTCTGAGGCCTCTGTTCTGTCCCATTGGTCTATATATCTGTTTTGGTACCAGTAGCATGCTGTTTTTGTTGCTGTAGCCTTGTAGTATAGTTTGAAATCAGTGTAATGCCTCCAGCTTTGTTCTTTTTGCTTAAGATTGTCTTGGCTATGCAGGCTCTTTTTTGGTTCCATATGAAATTTAAAGTAGTTTTTTTACAATTCTGTGAAGAAAGTTGTTGGTAGCTTGATGGGGATAACATTGAATCTATAAATTACTTTGGGCAGTATGGCCATTTTCATGATAGTGATTCTTCCTATCCATGAGCATGGAATGTTTTTCCATTTGTTTGTGTCCTCTTTTATTTCCTTGAGCAGTGATTTGTAGTTCTCCTTGAAGAGATCCTTCTCATCCATTGTAAGTTGTATTCCTAGGTATTTTATTCTCTTTGTAGCAATTGTGAATGGGAGTTCACTCATGATTTGGCTCTCTGTTTGTCTGTGTATAGGAATACTTGTGATTTTTGCACACTGATTTTGTATCGTGAGACTTTGCTAAAGTTGTTTATCAGGTTAAGGAGATTTTGGGCTGAGATGATCTGGTTTTCTAAATATACAATCATGTCATCTGCAAACAGAGACAATTTGACTTCCTCTTTTCCCAATTGAATACCCTTTATTTCCTTCTCTTGCCTGATTGCGTTGGCCAGAACTTCCAATACTGTGTTGAATAGGAGTGGTGAGAGAGGGCATCCTTGTCTTGTGCCAGTTTTCAAAGGGAGTGCTTCCATTTTTGCCCATTCAGTGTGATATTGGCTGTGGGTTTGTCATAAATAGCTCTTATTATTTTCAGATAAATTCCATCAATACCTTGTTTATTAAGAGTTTTTAGCATGAAGGGCTGTTGAATTTTGTCAAGGGCTTATTCTGCATCTATTGAGATAATCGTGTGGTTTTTGTCATTGGTTCTGTTTATGTGATGGATTACGTTTATCGATTTGCATATGTTGAACCAGCCTTGCATCCTAGGGATGAAGCCAACTTGATCTTGGTGGATAAGCTTTTTGATGTGCTGCTGGATTCGGTTTGCCAGTATGTTACTGAGGATTTTCACATTGATGTTCATCGAGGATATTGACCTGAAATTTTCTTTTTTTGTTTTGTCTCTCCAGATTTTGGTATCAGGATGATGCTGGCCTCATAAAATGAGTTAGAGAGGATTCCCTCTTTTTCTATTATTTGGAATAGTTTCGGAAGGAATGGTACCAGATCCTCTTTGTACCTCTGGTAAAATTTGACTGTGAAGCCATCTAGTTCTGGACTTTTTTTTGGTTGGTAGGCTATTAATTGCTGCCTCAATGTCAGAACTTCTTATTGGTCTATTCAGGGGTTCAACTTCTTCCTGGTTTAGTCTTGGGAGGGTGTATGTGTCTAGGAATTTATCCATTTCTTCTAGATTTTCTAGTTTATGTAGAGGTGTTTATAGTATTCTCTGATGGTAGTTTGTATTTCTGTGGGGTCGGTGGTGACATCCCCTTTATCATTTTTTATTGCATCTTATTTGATTCTTCTCTCTTTTCTTCTTTATTAGTCTTGCTAGCGGTCTATCAATTTTGTTGATCTTTTCAAAAAACCAGCTCCTGGATTCATTGATTTTTTTGAAGAGTTTTTTGTGTCTCTATCTCCTTCAGCTCTGCTCTGATCTTAGTTATTTCTTGTCTTCTGCTAGCTTTTGAATTTGTTTGCCCTTGCTTCTCTAGTTCTTTCAATTGTGATGTTAGGGTGTCAATTTTAGATCTTTCCTGCTTTCTCTTGTGGGCATTTAGTGCTATAAATTTCCCTCTACATACTGCTTTAAATGTGTCCCAGATATTCTAGTATGTTGTGTCTTTGTTCTCATTGGTTTCAAAGAACATCTTTATTTCTGCCTTAATTTCTTTATGTACTCAGTAGTCATTCAGGAGCAGGTTGTTCAGTTTCCATGTAGTTGTGTGGTTTTGAGTGAGTTTCTTATTCCTGAGTTCTAATTTGATTGCACTGTGGTCTGAGAGACTGTTATGATTTCTGTTGTTTTGCATTTGCTGAGGAGTGTTTTACTTCCAATTATGTGGTCAATTTTAGAATAAGTGCAATGTGGTGCTGAGAAGAATATATTTTCTGTTGATGTGGGGTGGAGAATTCTGTAGATGTCTATTAGGTCTGCTTGGTCCAGAATTGAGCTCAAGTCCTGGATATCCTTGTTAATTTTCTGTTTCGTTGATCTGTCTTATATTGACAGTGGGGTATTAAAGTCTCCCACTATTATTGTGTAGGAGTCTAAGTCTCTTTGTAGGTCTCTACAGACTTGCTTTATGAATCTGGTGCTCCTGTGTTGGGTGCATATATATTTAGGATAGTGAGCTCTTCTTGTTGCATTGATCTCTTTACCATTATGTAATGGCCTTCTTTGTCTCTTTTGACCTTTGTTAGTTTAAAGTCTGTTTTATCAGAGACTAGGATTGCAACTCTGCTTTCTTTTATTATTATTATTGGGGCATTTAGCCTGTTTACAATAGGAATGCCCATAACTGGAGTCATGGATGACAATCAGATGCAGAACTGAAATCAGTGGAAATCCAGTCATTTACACTTAGCTTTGTCATTCATTTGCAATATGAGGTTAGCAAATGTTCTTTTAGACATCCAGGCCCTGGCCTGTTTCCTTTGTCAACTATGTGACTGTCTTAAATTGATTGGCTTTGGTTTTGCCACACTTTCCAGGGCAAAGTAAAGCATATCTCTTTATTTTACAATGCAGAGGCACTGTCTCCATGTTTTTGTTTTTTGTTTTGTTTTGTTTTGTTTTTTGAGACAGAGTTTCGTCTCGCTCTGTCACCCAGGCTGGAGTGCAGTGGTGCGATCTCAGTTCACTGCAAGCTCTGCCTCTGGGGTTCACGCCATTCTCCTGTCTCAGCCTCCCAAGTAGCTGGGACTACAGGTGCCCACCACCATGCCCAGCTAGTTTCTTTTCTTTTCTTTTTTTTTTTTTGTATTTTTAGTAGAGACAGGGTTTCACCATGTTAGCCAGGATAGTCTCAATTTCCTGACCTCAGGATCCGCCCGCTTTGGCCTCACAAAGTGCTGGGATTACAGGTGTGAGCCACCATGCCTGGCCTGTCTCCATTTTTAATAGAGAGAGGGAGTGCAATCAGAGAGAAGCTAACTATTGCACTTAACATTTCTGCTACAAATAGAAATGCTCCCTGCCAGCGGTTGACTCTGGAGATGTCTTAGCCTCCGCCATCCCTCTTTGATGAAGTCTAATAACAGGCCTCTCTTTACCCCTCACATCTTTCCTTAGATTGAAATGTCACTGTGCCTCCTCACAGTGCACAGCAATAGCTTCTTCCCACCCGCCCCGATGCTTATCCAGCGTTGATACCTCACTGTGTGCATCAGTCATCTCCTCCTCTCAAATTTCACAGCATGATCAAATTTCACCTCTGTCATGCATCCTCTGCCCTTCTCATCCCTCTTGTAGCCCACTGTGTTTCTACTCCCCGTCTCTACCCCTGTGTTCTCAGGTACTCTCACTCCTCTCATAGTTTGTCACTTTCTCATTCCCAAACCTCCTTATTTCCCCACAAGTGTCCATGCGTTCCTGTGTTTTGCACTACCTGAACAGTTCATAGACCATTTTCACCGGTCTTGTTTCATCTAGGTGAAAATAACCCTGGGGGGAAAATAGATATTGGTACCATTTCATAGATGAAGCTGAGGCTAGTAGGATTAGGCGATTTGCTCAGTGTTATGGGTATTCAGAAGGAACTACAGGGAGAGCTGAAGACCTCTAACTGTAAATCCTGTTCCCTTCCCCTGTCCTATACACTTCCTCCTTCATCTAAGTGCTTTTCTTTTCAGTCCTTTAATCACTCATCCAACATACATGATTGAGTGGCTGTTTTTGTACCAGCAGTGTGGATACAGTAAGGAGCAAGATAGACATGGTGTCAGCCCTCATCAAGTGCACTATCTGGTGATCCTTCTCATCTGCTGCCCAAATGCCTCTCACTCTTGGACATGCCACTATTCCATTATACAAGTAGAGATTGGAGATTAGAAGATCCTAGCTGCCTAGTGGATTCTTCAGTCTATTGCTGTAAATTTCTTAGCATGACTGTTTGAAAAAGCTCCATTCTGTATTTTTGGTTTTAATAACATTACCAGGATTCTCATTCAATCAACTAATATATCACCTACTACTCTGTGTCACAGGCAAAAGCTTAGTGTTGGGGCACAAAGTTACCTCTTACCCTTGAAGAGAGTTGCAGAGGAAGTGGCAGTCAGGAAAATGCCACATTTTCCGATTCATAAACTTACTCTTTTTTCGTATTTTAACATCTCTGAAAATTAGATGCTATTTTACTTATAACTGGAAGCATTTTTAAAAATTCTTAGAAATTATTTCTAAGATGTAATGGTACATCTTATGTCATATTCTAACAGAAGTGTATAAAACTACAGGAAAGCCTATGGGAAAGTGGTAACCCCCTGGAGGAACTGGGAAACATTTCTCCAAGGAGGTAGCAGATGGGCCTTTCAGTGGCTTTTTATTAACCAGGATTATAACAAGCAAACTATGCCAACCATTTTGTTTGTTCATTCTACTAACATGCTTAATATGAGCCTCTACTGTGAGCTTAGCACTTGGTGAACAGAAGATCATCCTGTTCAGAAGGATGTAGTACAGAAGGCAGACATACATTACCAATTACAAGACTGCATGTATTTTTAATTGTGATATCTCAAAGTATATATCAGAAGTACAATTTGCTTGTGAGAGTGCATATGAGGGTGTCTTGAAGCTACAAGCCGAGAACTTTTTAGACAGACAGGTAAAAATTATTAGGCAAGGAATGGGAGAAAGGATTGAGAGGAAGAGCATTTCAGGTAGACGGGAAAAGATGTACAAGGGCCCTAAGGTGGGAAGGAGCACAGGGTGTTTGAGCAAGTAGAAGACTGAAGTGACTGGATCCCAAAGAGTGGTGAGGAGTGGGATTCAAGAGGAGGCTGAAGAAGTAGCCTAGATCAAGTGGACCCACAGGATTTTCATCTTTAAGAGCCAGGCACCTTCTAAGCACTCTTGACTTGCAAGGTAGTATAACTGAGACTGTGTCTTCCCCTCCAGGCTCACCTTGTGGCAGCCTTTGAACAGAGTCTTGGTAACATGACAATCAGGCTCCAGAGTCTGACCATGACAGCCGAGCAGAAGGTAAGGCAGAAAGGATACTTTTACCCTCCCTACTTGGAGTTAACAACATACTTGAAAATACTGTTCTTTCATTTCAGATTATTGTATGGATGTTAATGTACTTTTTGAACTGTTAAAGTTTAATTGTAAGGAGTCCAAGCTGTTGAGTGAAAATATGACAGATTGAGTGATAATGGCATCAGTGATAGATCTTGTAGTTATAATCCTCCTCTTATGTGTTTGTTCATGCGTGTTGATCCATCTGAAAGGTTTTGTTGAGCTACTCCATTCCCTCCCCTCCTGTGTTGAAGCTAAGTTGTACTTCAGTTGAACTCTGTACAGAATTATTTTAGACTGACCGATAATTTTTTCTGTTCCCTAGGATTCAGAACTGAATGAGTTAAGAAAAACCATTGAGCTGCTAAAGAAACAGAACGCAGCTGCCCAGGCCGCCATTAATGGAGTAATTAACACACCTGAGCTCAACTGCAAAGGTAAAATAAGGGAAACAGCCTTTAGCCAGAAGACTTGCCTGCCCTTAGGCGCCCTCCCCTGACATCTTATGATGCAACCTTCTTACTAGAAGACAGTGTCTGCATAATTTAGCTCCATGTCAGGCGGGCAGGACCTGGAAGGCAAACACCTTTAATCAAGTCACTTCTGGCCTCTATGAAGATGGCTATGGTAGTTCATCCTCTTCTCTGATATATCTGAAAAATGGAAGAAAACATGTTTCTATTGGCAGAGCGTTAAAGTGTTTTACAACCCTTAATTTCACTAGCACTTTAATATTTATATGCTGATATATGGGGTAAGCTGAACTGAGTTCCTACCTTATTTGCCCAAGAAAAGATTTCTTTTTTTTTTCTGAGACAGAGTCTTGCTCTGTCACCCAGGCTGAAGCGCAGTGGTGCAATCTTGGCTCACTGCAACCTCTGCTTCCCAGGTTCAAGCAATTCTCTTGCCTCAGCCTACCAAGTTACTGGGATTACAGACATGTGCCACCATGCCTGGCTAATTTATGTATTCTTAGTAGAGACAGGTCTTGCCATGTTGGCTGGGCTGGTCTTGAACTCCTGGCCTCAAGGGATCAACCCACCTCGGCCTCCCAAAGTGCTGGGATTACAAGCATGAGCCACCATGCCCAGCCCAGGAAAACGTTTCTAAGTGAATTATTTTGTCCTTGTGTATCTTGGGGTAATGTAGGAGTGCAGGTGAGTTAGCTCTCATAATAATAATAACAGTAATAGTAATCATAGAAGTAATATGGAGAGCTAGGATTTATGGAACACTTACTATGTTCTAAGTGCAGTGCTAAGTGTTTCAGTGATTTCATTATCTGGTTTTCTTTCTACAACAATCTTGTGAGTGTGATTCTGTTCTTCCCTCATTGTTCTGATGAGGACACTAGTGTTCATAGATGAGAGTCACTTTCTTTTTCTTTTCTTGAAACGGAGTCTCACTCTGTTGCCCAGGCTGGAGTGCAATGGCATAATATCTGCTCACTGTAACCTCTGCCTCCCGTGTTCAAGTGATTCTCCTGCCTCAGCCTCCTGAGTAGCTGGGACTACAGGCATGCGCCACCACGCCTGGCTAGTTTTTGTATTTTTAGTAGAGATAGGGTTTCACCATGTTGGCCAGGCTGGTCTCGAACTTCTGACGTCAAGTGATCTGCCTGCCTTGGCTTCCTAAAGTGCTGGGATTACAGGCATGAGCCACTATACCTGGCCTAGAGTCATTTTTTCAGGTCAGGGATTAGGGAGAAACTGAAGTGGAGCTAGAATCTGATGAGTCAGTTTGCCCCTACAACCAGTGTTCTCAAAGACCAGCCTTTAGGTGTAGTTCTGTCCCCATGAGAAAAACTATCTGCAGACTTTATGTCAGATATCATACATTTTCAATGTCTGTGTTATTTCGTGTATTGGGCCTCCTGAAAAAGTGATAATAGCTTTGAAATGGGAAGGATTTACAAATCAGTTGGCTGGACAGAGTCAAGGAAAAAGAATATCCAGATGGAGGAATATCCAGACAGAGTCAAGGAAAAAGAATACCCACGTGGAAGGGCCCTAGATGAGGCAGGCATAGCACTTCCAAAGGGCTGCAAGAAGGCCGCTGTAACAGGATCCCAGAGAGCAGGAGAGGGAGGGGGCTAGCAGTGAAGGTGCCGACTGCTCAATTCACAAGCACATTTCCACACCTATCTAAAGCTTAAGAGCTGGTGTTGGGGAAATTCTCCCTACACCTCCCTTGACTTCTGTTTTGTAAAGTGGGAAGAGATAGACCTCATTTAACTGACCAAAGAGGGCAATGCACTCACCTATTCAAGGATCTTAGAAGCAACTGTAGGGAACAGAGTTGACGTCTATGTGGAAAACACCTAGTAGTCCTCAGGTGGGTGGGTTTTGCTTAAAGGGCAAAATCCTGAGATAAAGAGTAGGGCTCAGATTGGCAGCTGCTGATACACCCTGCCTTGGTCTCCAGGAAATGGCACTGCCCAGTCTGCAGACCTCCGCATCCGCAGGCAGCACTCCTCAGACAGCGTCTCCAGCATCAACAGCGCCACCAGCCACTCCAGCGTGGGCAGCAACATAGAGAGTGACTCAAAGAAGAAGAAGAGGAAGAACTGGGTGAGTGCACACCCACTCTCCTGGGGACTGACGGACAGAGTCAGTTGCAGAACTGGCTGCTGCATCCCCCCCAGATAAAGTCCAGCCCAGCTACTATCTGTGGAACATAGCCCTTTGGGAGTAGATCCCAGGAAATGCTTTGTGGATGGGTTTTTACTAAAATCAGTATTATACTCAGCAAAACACTAGCGTCTACAACATCCCTACCACCTTGTATTTTTTTTTCTCTTTCATGAGACTTTTCATAAAGTACTCATCTTTCATTTCATGTATGTGTCATTTCCTCCTCATTATATGTTGGCCACAAAGTTTCAGGTACTACAGCAAAGTTATTCTTAAATGGTTTCTTCATAGGTCCAAAGTATTTTTTTGAGCATATTGCTAGTTATCCCATCTTTAGCCATAAGTCTTTATCTATTTATTTACAAAAATGCCAAGGGATAGTATCAAACCAACCCTCTCTTTGAAAGCTTTTTGACCATGTCCTATAAAGAAAAGGTTACTAATGTCAGTGTTAGAAGTTAGTAAGTAGTTCTAAATCAGGGGTTGTACCTCAAATAGCAAGTTATAGAATCAGTCTCTATTATAGTGTTTCTCCATGTATTCATAATCCCAATGAGTTATTTGAATTTCTCTACAGTGATGCCTTGAGTGGTTCTTTCCACTCTTCTGGAAAAATTCCACCCCTACTCTCCATCCAGTTTTTTAGTTCTTCTTTAAGGCTACAGAACTCTGACTGAGATTTGCTATCCCTTGTCTTCAGTGCAAGAATATTCCAAGTTGATCTGGAGTTGACCAGTGGCCCCTGGTCCCCATTTGTGCTGACAGCATCCTGTTTCACTAGTAACTTCAGTGTCCTCATTCATTCTGTACACTTCTCATTCATTTTGTGTTATCTTGGATGGGTGGCGAGGTCTAGTGATACAGATGTCAGGGATTTAGTAATTTTGGTTGTCAATGACTTGCACTGGAAGCAAGCTAAAAAGCCAGTTTAGTGTGACCCTCTCATTATTCTGATTAAATTTTCTTGTTTAAGTTACTAATGGCTTTTAGTCAACTTATTTGTTATGACTAAACACAGATAGGATTTATTCATATTGCTGTCTCTAATATGCAATTGATAAACATGGTCTGCTTTGATTTTCAAAGTGACAAGAGAGATATTTTCTGTGAAAAATAGTGGTTATTCCATTTTCTTCAAGAAATAAAGCTTGCTTATGTTGCTTTAAGACAACTCCTGGTTATCAGTCAAATCAGGGAAGATGGATAATTGGCATCCTCAGCTAATCCCAAAGCTTAACTCTGTCTGATCTTCGGAATCTCCTCTCCCACCTGGCTTTTCACCAGAGGTAGAGGCAAGGATTTCAGTTGGTGGCTTGTGTCCCTAATCCTTCTGTTTCTGTGACTGCTCTCTGGAAATATGATCAGAAGTAGGAAATGGGAGAGAAATGGATCTAGATTTGCCTACAAGCTGGACATGCGGTTTATTATAGGTGAAACCTGTTGATGGGAGAAAAATCTCATCAATTTTTAGAATGGCCTGTTTTCTAAATTTTTCAATGGCTAAGAAAACCCCTGGAATGTATTTTCACCAGGAAAAAAGACTTTAGGAAAAGGAAATTACTTTTAAAAGGGCTTTTTTCAAGATGAAACATTAGTTTTTGGCCTAGAAAAATCTGATTATGGCGTTCAGAAAGGACATTGCATTTTAATTCTTTATGTTCTCATTAAAATGTTTAGGTCTCCATTTCCTGCAACAGAGGAGGGGGAAAAGAATTTTCAGATCCATCTCATGATTTGGGGAAACTGTAATATACTAGTTCCTTTTCCCCCCATATGGTTAATATATTTCTTTAAAATAACCATTTTCTGAGTAACAAGTGAGACGGCTAATTTGCTGCTTATTCGATTATCTTCTTATATACACAAATAGCAGAAACTCCTAAGTGGATAGGTTAAGGAGCTATGCAGCCATCCAGGGCCAGTGTAACAGTGAAGCTAGAATTGCTCAAAAAAGAAGACATCCTCTCCAAAAAGTTAAGGCACAGAGAGGTGACTGACAAGAGAAAAGAAGAGAATGAGAAGCACAGGAAGGTGGGAGGCAGCCATTTCAGCCAGACAGGGCAAAGCTGGAAGAACTGGAATTGTAGAGGACTCCCCAACCTGCTATTCCCTTTCAGAAGGAAGGAACATGACCCCAATGCTTTTAAAGATTTGTGCTCCTACTGGAAACCTCCCCTGTGTGTGGTGTTTATTATTAGCCTTGTGTCTGAAAGTCCGAAGCTTTCCCTGTCACTGGCTTTCTCTGTTAAAAAATTGTCTTTTTTCCTCCCCCTTCCCCATTTTTGCTTGCGTTTTCTCTGGCAGGTCAATGAGGTAAGCAAGACCGACTTTAATATCAGATACCAAGCTAACCCATCCATTGATACGACTAACCTCATCCGCATCCCTCACCGTGTCTGAGCATCCTGCTTTGTTGCTGTGTAACCTCATCTTCCCAACATCCATCTGCTGAGCCAGGCTCTGTCTTGCTGTTGGCATCTAGTCTTGAACCAAGAGTAGGCATGGAATGTTACCCACAGGTGCAGTCCCTCAAGCTGGCAACACCAGATAACTCTTCTTCCCTTAATGCACTGATTCAAAAGAGCTCTTGGGAACTTCTTCCATTGGTGGGGAAAAAACATGGGAGAATTAATCGCTTTTTTGTGTGCATGTCTCTGTTTTGCCAAGGCCTAAGCATTGGTTGCCCCCGTTGCAAGACTGACAGTCTTATATATTCAGTTACGCAGCTCCTTCAAGCAAGCTTTCGGGAAGAAGAAGTCCCCGAAATCTGCGTCCTCTCATTCAGACATTGAGGAGATGACGGATTCTTCTTTGCCTTCCTCACCAAAGTTACCACACAACGGGTCCACAGGTTCCACCCCACTGCTGAGGAATTCTCACTCCAACTCTCTGTAAGTCTGTCTGTCTAGTCAGATAACATCTTTGGCCCCTGAGAACCCTCTCCAATAGGAATGGCTAGGAGTCCTGTTATGACACATCTGCTCTTTGGGATCCTTTATGCTTTGCTTTAATAGGACTGTGCATGTTCTTTCAATGCTTTAGGACTGGGAAAGTTGAAAGAGAAAGGAAACTTAGGTTTTCGTTCTGGTGATATCAATGTCTGTAACTAGCTGGTTGGCCTTAAGCAAGTTACTTGAGTTCTCTTTGTTTCCATACCTTTATATGTCAATTTGGGATACTGGTTTCTGTGTTTGTATCCTAGCCCTAAGAATTGAACAAGATAAATTGATATAAAGGAGCTTGCTTCCTGCAGCAGTAAGAAAGGCTGGCCCTGCCCAGTAGGGCTGAATTTCTTTTGAGACCATGGTATACCAGGTCTAGAATTAAAGAACTGGAGCACAGGTAGTCTGCAAGGAAAGTTATCAGCGAGATGAGATAGTGCCTGGGAGAAGAGGGAAGTCATGGCCAGGGTCAGGACAGCCACTGAGATAGGGTTAGAGAAAGAAGTTTGGTTGTATAAATTTCAGTTTCCTCACTAGTAAAAATAGGGTGCATTATATCTACTTCACTGGATTCTTGGGAGGGTCAAGTTAAATACTATGCATGAAGGACCTTTTCCATCCTATTCCTTCTTTCTTCATTCTCAGGGGGCCAGGTCTGTGGAGCTGACCCTAAGTCCACTTAACCAGCCAGCCCACTGAAGATAGCATAAGTGTCCTAAGGCCCTGTCTTAGCGGCTTTACCAGAAGGGTAGAGGGAATACAGGCAAAATCAGCCTATTCAGAGGCCAGGTCTTTGTAGCACACCAACTGCATGGAAGTGGAAGAGAGGAAACAGAGGATAGTAGGGTTATGACCTTTTGTTTTGTTTTGTTTTGTTTTGTTTTTGTTTTTGAGATGGAGTCTTGCTCTGTTGCCCAGGCTGGAGTGCAGTGGCATGATCTCGGCTCACTGCAACTTCTGCTGCCTGGGTTCAAGCAATTCTCCTGTCTCAGCCTTCCGAGTAGCTGGGACTACAGGCGCATGCCACCACGCCTGGCTAATTTTTGTAGTTTTAGTGGAGACGAGAGTTCACCATATTGGTCAATCTGGTCTCGAACTCCTGACCTCAGGTGATCCACCTGCCTCGGCCTCCCAAAGTGCTGGGATTATAGGCATGAGCCACCACACCCAACCGGGGTTATGACTTTTAAGCAACCTCACCCATTATTGAAACATGGCCCTGTCAGGGTCTCCACTTTACTGAGTTAGATGATCAACTCCTGTTTTTTTGGGGAGCACCCTAGTAAGAGGTAGCCACAGGGATGTGTACTTCCTACTGTTATGGGTGAGGTAAAACTGAGCGGAGGAAGGAAAAAGGACACTGAGGGACTGGACTTCGGTTTGTCCCTGTAGTGCCTAGCCCAGTGCTCTGTGTTATTTTGAGTGAAGAATTAGACAAATGACTGAGAGGGTGTGTCCTCCTCTATCTGCAGAGTGCCTAAGGAAGGAGTAAAGAACAAGTTGCCTGTGACTCTCACACATGCCATCATCCCAAAGCATCCCAACTCAGTTGTCTCCTGACCAGGAGAAAAAGGAACTCATCATGTCTTCTTTATTTATTGGTTTAAACTTTTTATATAGCAACCTGAGCAGAGCACTATTCCAGATGTTCTGAAGAGACCAAAAAGATATTAACCAAGCCAAGTGCAGTTACTCTCACCTGTAATCCCAGAGCTTTGGGAAGCCAAGAAGGGAGGATTGCTTGAGGCCAAGAGTTGGCAACCAGCCTGGTCAACATAGTGAGATTCTGTCTCTACAAAAAAAAGTTTTTTTAATCAGTCAGGCATGGTGTTGCATGCTTGTAGTCCCAGCTACTTGGGAGGCTGAGGTAGGAGGGTCACTGGAGCCCAGGAATTTGAGGCTGCAGTGAACTCTGATCACCCTGCACTCCAGCCTGGGTGACAGAGTGAGACCATGTCTCTATTTCAAAGAAAAAAAAAAAAGTTGAACAGATTCTCCACCCCTGAGAAGAGTAAATACTAGTGGAGACATGACATAGTACAGTTCATTCCACTCCTGAACTTTCACTCTGAAGGCCCCATACTCAGTTGTGGTTACGATAGAGTACAAGACAAAGTTCCTACTCATGGACCCTGTATACCAAGAGAGGAGATGAATGCTAAACAAATAAATCCTGAATAAACTAGGAAAATTAGAGAGTTCTAAGGGCTAATGCTGTGAATTAAAACAGTGCTGAGATACAGAGTGCCTTGGCAGCAACTTTAGATGGGGTGGTCAGGAAAGAGCCCTCTGAGTAGGTGACATTTCAGCTGAATCTGCATGCCGGGGGAGCCACTGGGTTAGTTTCAGCGGGTAACATTAGCTGCTGTAACAAACTCAGCCCGACGCTCAGCAGCTTTACATATGACTGTGTATTTCTTGCTCACTCCAAACCCAATGCAGATAGTCCTAGTCGGCATGTGGCCTGTCCTCTAGTGATGTAGACAATAAGGCCCCCGCCATCCACAGGGCCCAGTCCTCTGCTCAGTGTTCTGTGTCCAGCCAGTGGGCGTGGGGGTGTGGGGAGTACAGAGGGGCCTGCAGGAGGGTTTTTAAGGACCGGGCCTGGAAGAGGCTTACGTCACCTCTTCCCACAGTCCACTGACCAGGACTCAAAGCCATGCCACCTGCAGGGGAGGAAGTGAAGGAGGAAATGGGCTTTGGTGAACACACAGCAGCCTCTGCCCCCGCAGCCTCCCAGTGAGCAGGGCAGTCTTCCTGACCCAGGAAATAAATAACACAAGGAGCCTAATGTAGAAACAGGTTTGATGTGTCTGAAGAGAGAGAGGGATGGACAGTGTGACTTCCCACATATGCGAAGAGGCCACAGACATAGTGAGGGCCTAGAACATGCAAGGCTTTGAAGTGAATTAGCATCCCATTTCATGTATAATGGGTGGGTGTGGTGGAGTTTGAAACAGGAATATGAGATAATCTGAATTTACAAAGATCAGTCTCTGTTCCGTGTGTAAGGAATATGGGGAAGGGAGATCACTAGGACCTCCTAGCCACTCTGGCCCACTGTTCTTTGAACATTCCAGTCACACTCTCCACCTCAAGTCCTGTGCCGTTCCTGTGTCCTCTGCCTGGTACACTCTTCCCTCATATATTTATTTCCTTAGGTCTCTGCTCAGTGTGACTTAATGAATAAGGCCTTGCCCATTCACTTGCATAAACCAACATTCCGCCACGACCCAGTGCTCCCCATGGTCCCTTTGCCCTTGCTTCATTTTTCCCCTTTGCACATGTTGCCCCCGGACACCTGACATAGAGGTTTTCCTTGATTATTTGTTCTCTGTCCCCAACCCCAACCCCAGATCTACAGTAGAAGCTCCGTGGAGGTAGGTACTCTGTTGGTTTTGTAGGCACTCAAATATTTGGTGGAATGAAGGAGCGACTGATGAGAGTGGTGAGTCCTGGATGGATTTAGGATATATTCTTGAAGAAAAGTTAACAGCGTATGGTGATGGATCAGATGTAAGTGCAAGGGAAAGAGGAGAGCCATCCTGGGATATTCCTAGATTTACAGCTTGAGTACCTGGGATGAGTGGGAGACACAGATGAGGGCAGAGTGAGGAGTCGGAGCACTACTTTGGTTACATTAAATTCGAGATGCCCAGCAGACATCCATATCCAGGTCAACCAGCCTGGACTTCCTAGAGGTATAGATTTGGGTGACACAGACTCGTTGGTGGTGTTGAAAGCTGGATAACTGGAAGAGTTCTCCAAGGGGTTGAATGAAGACAAAGATGATCAGAGGGCACGAGGACAAGAGGTCAAGAGGACTGAGCTCTAGTGCACTCTGATATTTTAAGTTCAGAAAGAGGGAGTTAAAGATGCCGGCCAGCAAGGTGGGAGGAAACCTGGGAGCAGAGAGGAGAAATGGTTGCTGGAGGGAGTAGGAACAGGGCCAGATGCTGCTGGGCGGCCAAGTAAGATGAGCAGAGAGAGGCGGCGATGCACTCAGCTGTGCAGGACCATGACAGAACTATCCTCCAAGCCATTTTCCCCAGAGGAATCGGGCGGGGTTGACTCCTGGCTCCCCAGCCCTTTTCTTACATTCCACAGCATCCATGCACACTGGAGATGTTTGTTTTTGGTCTCGTTTTCCAAAGGGTAGGCTGAGAGCAAATGCTTATTTCCAACCTTGAAGGGTTTGTAAGAATGTGCAAATCTAGATGTGAGAGGGAGTTCAAAGACAAAAGCAAAGGCAGAGGAGTTGGACTTAGGAAATTCCCCAATCTGTGGGCGAAAGGAATGGTAGTTGTGGTAAGGCAACGTTTTCCCACACTCGAGGCATTTTAAAATTAGGTATGCCACCAGCCCTGACTGTGGACAAGACAGTGGAAAAAGGCTTGAATCACAGTTAAGGGACTGAGTAGGAAAAAACACACATGAGATTGCTTCAGTAAGCAGTTTATGAAGTGGACAAGCATGTATTGAGCGCCTAGTGGGTATAGTTCAGGAACACAGGCTCTAGAGCTAAGCAGTCCTGCCAGGTTTGAACCTGCCTCTATCATTTTTAAATAGTGCAGTCTTGGACCTGTTTGTCTCCATGTCTCTGTCTCCCCATTTTAAAACTGGAGATAATTACAGTACCTCTTCATGGAGTGAGTAATGTACAAAGGAAATGGAATAATATACTTCAAATGCCTAGCCCATTTGTTTAGGTATTCCATAAGCATTTGTTAGGTACCCATTATGTCAATGTGATCAGATGCCAGAAATGATGCAGAGAATAACTCTGGTCCCCGAGGAGCCAGCAGCCAAGCAGAGGTAACATGTTAAGTGAAATGAAATTATCAGTGATATAGCCTAAGTCTAGTCAGGGAAGGACCTAGGGGAAAAGGCTCTGTCTTAGGCATTAGGATTAGGGACTAAAGCTTAGTTAAGGCTGCTGCAAAACAATGTGTTTTCTTTCTTTCTTTCTTTTTTTTTTTTTTTTTGAGACAGAGTTTCGCTCTTGTCTCCCAGGCTGGAGTGCAGTGGTGCGATCTTGGCTCACTGCAACCTCCACCTCTCAAGTTCAAGCAATTCTCCTGCCTCAGCCTCCCGAGTAGCTGGGATTACAAGTCCCCACCACCACAGCTACACCACCCAGCTAATTTGTGTATTTTTAGTAGAGACAGGGTTTCACCATGTTGGCCAAGCTTGTCTCGAACTCCTAACCTCAGGTGATCCACCTGCCTCAGCCTCCCAAAGTGCTGGGATTATAGGCATGAGTCACCACCCCTGGCCAAGAATGTGTTTTCAACATCATGTCTACATTATAGGACATCTCATGAGGCCTCATCATTGTGTGTTTCTGAGAGCTGGTTGATTCTGGAGGAGCATAGGGGACAAAGTCCTCCCAACACAGACTTTCTTCATTTCAGTTTGCTACCATTTGTATAGTCAAGGGTTTGAGCCAAGCTCTGCAACGTAACCCATGTGATATGTTCCACAAAGTGAGTGCCGAGAAGGTATTTTCTCTCTTGCTGAGCGCTTTCTGGGAAAAGGGTGCTGATCGGGTGAAGATGACTTGAGCAAGGTGCCTTGTCGTGGACTGCTGGACAGACCAGCCTCACATGGTGTCAGCCAGAACAGACTGTTCTCTGCAGTGAATCTGAGCCTTCAAGATCTGTGTAGGACATGATTTGGCTAAGACAGGAGATAACAGTGGAATTTTGTTCAGACTTTACACTCCATTTAAACCAAGAAATATAGTCTTCTCAAGATAGAACCAGCTTTTGCAAGCTCCTCCTGCAAACCTCCCAAGCCAAAGAAAAAAATAAAAAAGAAAAAAAAAAACCATGGTTCTATCAGTAAACCTCCCAAACCACAGTCTGTTCAAAGTACAGAGAGCTGAGAAAGAAAGGATGTTGCAAATTCTAAAGACATTTCTCTCTCACCCTTTTCGTCCTAAATCTATTGGCTTCAGTCCCTCAAAAGTGTGAGATGGAAATAATTAGATCATTTTCAGGAGTTCTTTCAGATTAGATTTTGAAGCTAAAAATCTTCCTTGGTGACTGGTAACTTTTAAAAACGTAAGGTGGTTTTACTGTGTCTCTCAAATCAAAAGAGTTCAGGTTCAGGTCAAGAAAAGAGCAACAAAAACATTTGACTATTCAAGTGTTAAATTTTTCTTCCAGTTCTTTCTGCCCCTGAAATACAATTTCATCTCTTTTAACAATTTTATAAATCATTTTCCTTTGGGAAATAAAAGTTCCACACCCTCACCCAGTTTTACAGGTCAGGTTTTGTTTGGCCCCAAACCCATCGCTTGGGTCTTGGAGAGCAGACTTGTGTGATCATTTATTTCTGGAGAGACCACATGCTCATCATCTCCTTTAGACATAATCGGCTTCAGCTTTGTAACTTTATGAACTTGAGAATGGGGGTGTTTGGGGTTGTTTTTCTGTCTTCAGTCCAAGAAATGTCAAAGCTTTCTATTCTGGATCACCCAGTAACCCAGATGCTAAGATCTATGAAACTCACAGAACTACTTTTTTTAAGAGAACTATCTTTCTTAGCGTTGCAATTCATCATGACTTTTATGATCTTCTACTTTGTGCTGATTTGCCAGGTGTTTGGAGAGCAAACCTAAGTAATTAAGGAGCCTAGCCTAGAAGAACCACCACTTCAGAAAGAGGAACTCAACAGGGTCCCATGGTGACCTTGACCTGGTGTGCAGCAGAGAAAAGAAGACAATTAGCCAGGCTGTTGCAGAGTTTTCAGATACAACTTTGGCTTGCATATCACACCATCCCGTCTGTTCTCCAACTCCCTGAAGAGGTTTCCCTTCTTGCCCTGAGTGTGTTAAGCAGTGTGGGGGCTGAGGGAACTAAAAAAGGTTGATCTGTCTAGATATTTTTAGGGGAGTGAGTTTTCAGAATGTGATCAGGAACAGATTAACACCTTCCATGCATATCTTTAGGCTTCATCCCCATTTTGGCAAATAAAAATCACCCCTCAGTTGTTTAACAAAGGAATTTCTAATCTTTAAAACAGATAGCTGACCCTGCTTCTCTGAGTCAGTTTGGAACTCAAGGGCACGTGGTGTCATGGAAGCTCAGCCGTGTACACATGGTGGGGGAGGGGGTATCAAACTGGAAGGTTACTACTCCCTTTTGCCAGCTCCTGCTTCTCCCTGTATTACTGGAATTTTGCTGAAAGGCACACCAAAGCCATTCTGATTGCCTGAGCTCGGCAAAGAAAGAATGTAGAGAATGAAATCTTGTCTCTAAAAAAAAATAAAAATAAAATTTAAAAAGTGAAACCGCAAAAGGCAGGAAAAGAGTGAAAGAAAAAAATATGAACAAAGAAAAAGGACAACAAATTGAAAATAATATGGTAAATGTTAATCCAACTATATTAACAATGATTTTAAACATCGGTGGTCTAAATAAACCAATTTAAAGAAGAAAAAAAAAAAGAATGTAGAGAAGGAATAAAGTCTGTTTTCAGGTGTTTTTGGTATTATCACCCCAGGAAGCACCAGGCAGCTGGTTATTCATAGTTACTGCTAAACAAACCTGATGATTGACGTGGACCAGTGGTCACTAGGGGACTAAAAGGAGCTGCTTTCATCAGTAACATTCCTCTTTCCCTAGGATTTCAGAATGCATGGATAGTGAAGCTGAGACTGTCATGCAGCTCCGAAATGAGTTGAGAGACAAGGAGATGAAGCTGACGGACATCCGCTTAGAAGCTCTCAGTTCTGCCCACCAGCTGGACCAGCTCCGGGAGGCCATGAACAGGATGCAGGTGAGAGCCCAGTAGCATGGGCTGAGCTCAAGGCTGTCTATGAAGGAGCTCCCAGAGGCTGCTCTCCACTAAGCCCTAAGGGCTACATCAGAATCTGGTGGCAGCCCTCGCTTTCCCAGCCTCTATCTCTTTTCATTCCCTCCCACACATTGCTCAAAGACCAATCTTTTGGAAGAATAAGAGTACCCATGCCCTTCCTTTACATAATGCTTTTAGTGACTCCCCTGGTGCCTGTGGCATGTGGTGCAGTCTCCTTCACCTGGCCTTCAAGGCCTTCTACAGGGTCCTTTCCACTGTTAATCCACATCACCCTCCCCAGCTCCTCTTCCCAGAATCTACTCACCAACCAGATGGAGTCGCTGACTGCCATCTTTGCATCCCTCTTTCATATCGTTCCCTCCACTGGGAATATTCCACTGCACTCCAAGTTAGACCCTTCCCTTAATGCTCGGCCTGATGCCTGTCCAAGTCTTGCAGCTGGAGTTAGTGCCCTCATCTGAATCTTCTTGTAGATTTGTTCTTACAGCCCCTCCCACCTTCTGCCATGGAGTGAAGACATTTGGGTCTTCTGGGCTTTTTGCATACCTTTCTCTGGACATAGCACTAATGCCTTGCACATTGTAGGTTCTTCATGAATATTCATAGAATGAAAGATACCTGTGGAGTCTGCCAGGACCTTAATGGAGTCAGTTTTCCCAAAGGAGGTTCCCTGAAACACTCATTCCATGAGAAGCTCTATGAAAGGAGAACTCCTTGATCAAATATATTTGGAAAATTCTGCACACCATATGCCTCTGTTCGATTCATGGCGTAGAGGAACTCATTAAACGTTCTGAGAAGTCCTGCAGGAAAGAAGCCTGTAAAAGTCAGAGTTGCACAAACCTCTTAGATCATAAGACTCTTTTTTACTTAATCCTCAAGCAGCAGACTCTGGGAAGCATTTCAGAGGTCTTTTCAAAGGCCTGTTCTCTGAGTGGATGGACCTCCCCTGCCAGCATGTCTTGTGTCTACAGCAGGGGCAGCAAACACTGCTGAATCTCTCTGAGGGTGGTGTTCGCCTTGGGTGGGAGACCAGCCTGGTTTCTGCGGGGAACTTTCAGATCCTTCCTTCAGAAAAATCTTGTTCACGTTACTTCTGCCTACTAAGTGAGCTTCTCCATTACTCTTTGCAGAGTGAAATAGAGAAGCTGAAAGCCGAGAATGATCGGCTGAAGTCAGAGTCTCAAGGCAGTGGCTGCAGCCGGGCTCCTTCCCAAGTGTCCATCTCTGCCTCCCCAAGGCAGTCCATGGGCCTCTCCCAGCACAGCTTGAACCTCACTGAGTCAACCAGCCTGGGTGAGTGGCCTACAGGGTTTGGGGGCGGGACTGGACCTAGAGCTGGCACCCTGATCTCTAAGTGAGAACCCCAAAATAAGCAGACCAACAGATCAAACGGAGAGGCAACAGGTGTGTGTGCACTTGGGGTGTGTATGTGTCTGGGTGTGAGTCTGCTACCAACATGAACCCAGCCGTTAGACTGCTCTCATGCTTTGCTCCAGCACCCCAAATTCTCCAAGCCCTGAGCTTGGATCCCCTCGCCCACCATGCTGAGTTCTGTTTGATCCATTTTAAGAGGCTGACCTGCAAGCTGAATGCTGTACACGAACCCCATAGTAGCAGGTCCCAGTCGGGGCAGTGGCTTGGTCTATGATCTTCCTGTCTTCAGGATGGATTCCAGGCTGGCACAACCATCAGTGAACACAATCTAGGTTTTCTTTGTAAGCATATTAAGGCTGATGCTTTTATTTTGTATCCATGATGCTGCTGTTGCTGTTGTTTTGGTTGAGTCTCTCCCTCGCACTTCCATCCGGCAAGGTGCATTGTCAGCCTGCTGGTTCCTTGGTTGGTCCACCATTGGTTTCTGTGACTGCATTCTCCATTTTGCCCTCTCCTCTTCCCCTACCCGCCCACCCCCTGCACCCTGACACCTGTTTGTCCCACTGCTGTGCCAACCAGCAACGGGGGTGTCAGGAAGCTGGCTTTGCTGTCCCCATGTGCCTAAGGCTGTTGATGTTTTCCATTCGCAGACATGTTGCTGGATGACACTGGTGAATGCTCGGCTCGGAAGGAAGGAGGCAGGCATGTTAAGATAGTTGTCAGCTTTCAGGAGGAAATGAAGTGGAAGGAGGTTAGTTGGATCCCTTTCCCTGCTCTGCCTGTCCCTCCCCCAGGTAGAACTACCTAGCTTAGTGATCTAATTGTAAAACCTGTATCACCTCAGAGCCTAAGGTGATTTGGAAATACTACTAACGCTTCTCTTAACTAACCATAATTAATCCCTTGCAGCATTTTGACACAAGTAAAGTGTGTGAATGGCATTTCCCTTTCTCGTATGCTTGAAAGTCTAATAAAGAATACTAAAAATGGTCCCACGTTTCACTTTCATGTAATTAACTAAACGCTAACATCCATTGGAAAGGGCCTTTCTGAATGTAATGTATTCCCAAAGCACTTCAGAGGCAGCTATGCACATTTAGCATGTAAGGTACAGAAATAAGCTGACCACATGCAGCAGACCAAGAGCACCAGTTTTATGGGTCATCAGTCATCAAGAGTAGACATCTTGGTAGACATCAAGAGATGGAGATGCCAAGCCCTGGGAGCTTGCAGGTGGCCGAAGATAGAGCTGGTGGGGCATCCTGACTCACCAAGGCTGGAGAATCTGAGTTTTCCTAGTATGGTTTCTGTTCACTTCCAAAGTCTATACCACTGCCAGAGACTATTTTGGGGTGGGGGCTAGAGTTGACATTGAAAGTTGAATTTTAGCCAGTGATTAAAGCCCAGTGATGCTTTGAATGACTATTTCTCGAATAAATGTGGAAAGGCCTCATGAGTCACCATTTCAATTTCCCTTGAGTTTTTTGTTTGTTATTTCTTAGTATTTCTAGCCAACATGCTATTGTAGTTTCAGACAGCTAGCGAACCCGCAGAACAAAGCATGTATAGCCAGAACTTTCTTAGGGGATTCCACTTTGTGGCTGGCTTGCTAGCCTCACAATAGGGGGTAAGCTCAGGATTTTGGCACTTCCATTAGCGTCATCTAGCCTTGAAAGATACAATAGATAGTTCCATTTTCAAAACGTAGCTAGTAGAGTGATGGACTATCAGGAGAAACTCATTCTTTTTTTTTTTTTGGAGGCAGAGTCTTGCTCTGTCACCTAGAATGCAGTGGTGTGATCTTGACTCACTGCAGCCTCCGCCTCCTGGGTTCAAGCGATTCTTCTGCCTCAGCCTCCCGAGTAGCTGGGACTACAGGTGCCCACCACCACACCCGGCTAGTTTTTTTGTATTTTTAGTAGAGACGGGGTTTCACCATATTGGCCAGGCTGGTCTCGAACTCCTGACCTTGCGATCCACCCGCCTTGGCCTCCCAAAGTGCTGGGATTACAGGCGTGAACCACCATGCCCTGCTGGGACACTCATTCTTACAGTAAATGCAGGTATACCTTGTGGACTGTTTATTCTAGTGATTGTCAATATGAACAGATAGAGCATACATTTTACAAAAGTTTACAAGTCACCTTCAAAAGTTATATTATTCTGCATCACTACAGTGTCCAGGTGAGGTTGGTTGACCAGGGATTATTATCCTCATTGTATAATTGAGAAACCCAAGACCCCAAGCGTTACTTATTTGAGGCCAGGGACAAGTGGTTGGGTCAGATCATCTCACTGCAAGACTGGTGCTCTTTTCTCTGCTGATTTTGCTTAGCTGCCATATGTCACCTCCCCCACCCCTGCCCAACCACACTCCTGACTCTGCGTCCTTATGAGCGTGTAAGGTATTTAAAACCCAATAGAATGGCATGTTCTATCAGCTTTTCTTTTATCAATGTGATCTCATTAGCTGCCACTATGCAAAGCCCTGTGAACAGAGGTGCAAAAGAGTTAGAAAAAGATTGTTTTGAGAGTATTCTTCCCAGAGTTTTATTAGTTTTCTGAGTTACACGTTTTGAGTTTTAACAAGAAGAGAAACAGTAAATGTTATTTAAAAACAAGAAAGAAGAAAAAATAGAAACACATTTTGTTCTGGCAATGTTTAAGATCTAGTAAGGAGATAAACTTGATATGCAAAAATAAGACAGAAATACCTAAAACTAAATATAAATTAGTACCGGATATATCATTATATAAGTTATGTACAGAATTGCCGAAGCAGTTTAAGCTCTGAGCCTGATGGGGTTAATCACTGAAGTCTTCCTGGAAGAGGTGAGTTTGTAAGCAAGGTTTGAAAAGACAAAGATGCTACACAGGTGTGGAGAGTTCTGGAAAAGGAATATGTGATTTATGCCCTGTCTGACACATTTACTTAGCAGAAGGTTCCATATTCCAGAGAGGAAATCCTCTCTTCCTGACTCTAGGTCTGCTGTTTTAGCAGTAAAGCAGGGAAAGGTATTAAGACTATTACTTCCACCTAAGTTATACCTGGTATTAATACAAATAGGACTTTTATTCCCCTTTCAAACCATTGGCGGAGTTCTAAGGCAACCTGAGTCCTCTGCTGAACTGAGTCAGAAAAGATCCACCTGGTTTTCATCTGTGTACATTTCCTTACCCTTAGGATTCCAGACCACACCTCTTTCTTATTGGCTGCATTGGAGTTAGTGGCAAGACGAAGTGGGATGTGCTCGATGGGGTGGTTAGACGGCTGTTCAAAGTAAGTGTTTCAAGATGGCGGCTACAGCAAAATACCTAACACGGGCATCCGGGCCTGGGGAGGCAAAGAGAGGTTGATGTCTTGAGCTTGGCCATTTCTCAGACCTGTGCCCTTCCCTACATCTTTATGTTGCTGGAACTTGTTCCCTGGCCCTCAAGGGAATGGAAGGACGATGGTAAGTACAGACTGGTGATCGGCCAAATTCTTTCCATCTGCCCTTTGCGGTGGTGGGCCAGCTAGTGAGGGTGATTTGAGCAACTCTTTGATCCTCTCACAGTGAATTGCTAATGTCCAACTCTTCACCTTAGAATTGTGTCTTAGGACGTATGTTTTGGAGTATGTAATCTGTGGCCAGGGCTTAGACATCAGATTTCTAGCCTTCATTTTGGGGGATTTGATCTGATTTGCCTGGTATGCTGTGCCACCACTTCAGAGTCTTTGATTTGTTTTACGAGTGACATTAATGTCTGATCGATGGCCAGGCTCAAGGATGTTGCCATACTTATTTCTCTATTCTTTTTAATCACATCATTAGATTGGGTGTTTGCCACAGGATAAATAACTAATGAGTACCAAGGTGAACCTTGAAACACATGGTGATTTGAAGGAAGCTTTTGGTACATTTTTTCTATTGTCCTGAAGTAAGTCAACAATTATAAGTGCTCATTAATCATGTTCCCTGAGTAGTAATAGTAGCCCACGTGTTTTGTGCCAGAGACTATGCCAAGCCCCTTATATTACCCCATTTAAAGGTGAAGAAAGTGAGGGTCAGGTTGGGCTGTTCAAGGTCATGGATCTAGAATTAGACCACGTTGGTCTAGTTTAGTTGGTCTGACTTCAACTCCTAACTTAACTATTACGTTGGTGCAAAAGTGATTGCACCAACATAGTTACTTTTGCAACAACCTAATAGTACACTGTAGTTTCTTTCTAATAGCTAGATCCAAGTAGCCTCATACGGAGAAAATTCTGTTTTTTGACTGGAGATTGTTCCCCATCCTGGTAAGCCAGCCTGTAGAAATGAGACCAGAGAAGACGTATGAATGGCTTAGGATGGACCGATTCTCCTACCTAGGCCAAAAACATATCTCTAGTGATGGGCAGTTGGGACATCCTTGGATTAGAATACCAGTTTGGGCTGAAAAGAGGCACATTGGCATCATAGTAAGTGAGGAAATGAGACCATGTAAGGCCTATTACTGGGATTCCACCGAAGTCCTTGTGCAGTCACCTCCTAGTACATGGACCTTAGTTCTACATTTACTAACCTAAAACCTTTTGTTCACTCAACTGAGAGGGAACACTTTCCAAATTAAACACACATTTTCCTTCTCAAAGATCTAGAGCTGATTTTTGCGAGCAGCCTGCATTTTAATCTCTTTGTATGATCTTTGAGCCAAAAGAAGGGAATGGAAGAGAGATTTCCTGTCAAAATTACTTTTTCGTGAATTTTCCAGCACCATTCACAGGCCCTGATGTCTTCAAGATTTCAGCCGAACTTAGGAAAAGCAGCCTGGCTTTTCCGTGCTTGGTTCATCCAGACTAAACGTTCACAACCTTGTTAGGGTTTTTTGTTTTGTTTTGTTTTTCCACTCCTAACCAAATAAATCTGTACTTTAAGAGGCCTGTGGTACTTGGGCATTATCCCCTTAGAAAGTCAGTTCCTCTCCCCCTCATCCCACAGCTCAATTTCAACTCAGACATCTGAGAAAGAAGAGAAGATGATCATAAATCACCCAATGAAAACATGAGTCATGGGCAGATTTTAGCCACATCTTTGATGGAGTCTTTATTTTTTATTTTTTCCAGGAATACATCATTCATGTCGACCCAGTGAGTCAGCTGGGGCTGAATTCAGACAGTGTTCTTGGCTACAGCATTGGAGAAATCAAGCGCAGCAACACTTCCGAAACACCGGAGCTGCTTCCTTGTGGCTATCTGGTTGGAGAGAACACAACCATCTCAGTGACTGTGAAAGGTAATTGAGCTGGTTGCAGAGGTCGGAGCTTTCAGGAATTACAGTTTTCATTTTGTAACTTGGCAGAGGCACTTGTGGCCACAGTTTTGTTTGTGCATATGTTTGTGGGCTGCTTTTCTCCCTTCCAACAGTTACTCTACGCAAGTTGAACCGTCTTTTGCTTTTTCAACCACCTTAGGAAACAAAATCATTTTAGTTTATTGCTGCAATTATCTAACAAAAGATCCCATTAGCCTTATGACTCTGAGATGATGGAATCTTAATAACCCTGTTGCAATAGGGCTTTACCAATACTGATGAATTACTCTTGCCAGCAAGCTTTGGACACAATCCCATTCTACAGATGGGAAAACCACGACTTGCTATAGGCTGCAGGAGTCACTCTGAGCATCCTGATGAAACTGCTAAAACTTGTGCCCACGCATGGTGCTGCTAGAGCTTCCGGTTTCTCATTACCTAGTGATATTAAGCCCCAGGCCAGAGCATTCTCTAGAACTCTAGGCCCACAAAGTTCACTCAGGAAAAAAAAGCTTCACTGCCAAGCAATTCTGGAAAGCTACATCGTTATCCCCATTTGTGTTTGGGGGACAGGAGTGCACTGGTACATCAGAGGCTCTGTCATTCAGTGTCCTAACTCCTGCTGTTAAAAAGGCTGTTTCGGCTGGGCGCAGTGGCTCACGCCTGTAATCCCAGCACTTTGGGAGGCCGAGGCAGGTGGATCACCTGAGGTCGGGAGTTCGAGACCAGCCTGACCAACATGAAGAAACCCTGTCTCTACTAAAAATACAAAAAATTGCCCAGACATGGTGGCACATGTCTATAATCCCAGCTACTAGGGAGGCCGAGGCCAGAGAATCACTTGAACCTGGGAGGCGGAGGTTGCGGTGAGCCGAGATCATGCCATTGCACTCTAGCCTGGGCAACAGGAGTGAAACTCCATCTCAAAAAAAAAAAAAAAAAAAAAGGCTGTCTAATCCAATCTCTCCCAAATTTATTTGATTGTAAAACCGCATCATTTCCTATATGTTATGGATCACCTGAATATAGACTTTCATAAATACCGTACTAGGCTCATTCTTTGTGTTGTCCCATTTCTTTCTTCCCTGAAAGGCCCTCCTCTTGACTGCAGTTTTGCAGTTGTTTGACACAAGATGTATTTCTTGGTTGGTAGAGTTTCCAGAAGCACCCCACCATTTTCCATCAGCAGGAATTAAGATCTTGCTCTGCAGGTGGCAAGTGGTACATACTGCTTGAGCCTCACACAGCCTTCTCCTGCTGGCAAGTGAAATGCCACAATTGTGCCCTTGGGCTATAAGTGACAGAAACAGACTCAAAAGTAGCTACAGGTAAAAAGGAAATGTATGGGCTCATGGCCCTGGGCAATGCAGGAGCATACCTCAAGCACAGCTGGATCCAGGTGCTCAGACAGTGAATCAGGACAAGGCCTGCCTCAGCGTTGCCCGTCACGGCTGTGCTTATTTATTGAACTCTTTGCACGTGGTTGATGAAAGGGCCCCTCGTAGCCCAATTCCTTCTTCTAGCTTAGGAACCTGAAGGAAAGAGGGATTTGGGGGAAAATGTAACAGATAATTCCTAGGGATGACTCTGGCCCACTATAAGTCAAAGGCCCGTCACTGAATTGGTCATTGTGACTAGGGAGAGGATTTGTCTGAGCCTGCTCGCAAGCCTGTCCCTTTGGGTGGATGGAGGAGCTGGATTGGTTCCACTTGAACCACCAGGAATGAGCTCCCCATGGGAAAGAAGAGTTCTACCATGAGGGGAAGCAGGAAGGAGTACCAGACACACTGGAACGATCGTCCTCAACAAGAACCCTTTCAGGAGAGCCTTTTATGTCCTGGGTTCAAATTGCATTTCATCCCTCCTGCCAAGCATGCCTTGTTCACTTGCTGGTTTTACAGGTGAGCATTACAAGGGACTGAGGGGTAAAAGGAATGGCCTAGCCTCTCTAGAAAGTAACAAGACTACTTGCCTCTATGGAGCGTGCCACCCCTCTGCAGACCCTGATCCGTCGCTGCTGCCAACACGTCAAGTTTCAGCACCTCAAGGGATCAGCTCGGTTTATTTTTCAGTGATACCTGACTCTTCTCTTTCCTAAAGTACTTAAAACTTATGACTTCAAGGCACTAAAAACCACTCAAAGATTTGAGCTGAAAGAGTTGTCTGAGCTGCAGTGATTCACTTCAGTGGTACCAGGGGAAGGGGGTTCGACTTTGCATTTCCTGAAGTGAGCTCATCGGCAAAATAGTCACTCCCTGCGGGGTTTATGGCAGAAGACTGAAACAGAGCAGTATATATGTACAGAGAGGGTGTTCTAGTGGGTTTCTCCTGTGTTTATTAATATTAAATGTAGAGACCCTGCACTCCATACTTTGCATTGAGTTTTGAGCAAGTGTACGCTACATCAAGCTCAGTAGCAGGAAAATGTTAGACTTGTCCCTAGCAGATAAGGTATCTGGGGGCCTTTGTCATTTTCATTCTGGAAGAGTCACTGCATTTAGGGGTTACGTGATTGCGGGAAGACTGGAAACAAACATATAGATGCTTTGGGGATATCTGCTAGCAGTGACTGAGTATGTAGAAGGAATTTGCTATTACAAAACAGTAAATACTCTTCAGTTTACTTTTCATTAATTCTGCTAGTTTCTTGAGAGTAGCTTTTAAACAATGACCTGAGGTTCTGGACAGCCAACCTTGGATGGATCTTCTCTTAGAGACAGTATCCAAAAGATACCTCTTGTGAAGCCAACCACCTTCACTGATGACATTGTCCCAGATAGGAAAGGGAAAGGATAAGTTTCCACTTGATGTTGTTGAGGACCAAGAGTCCCAGCTAACAACATTTCAGGCTTTCAGGCTAGGTCTGCCAGTATTCACATTCCAGAATCAAATGATCCCGCCTTGCATTCTTCTTCCTTTTAAAAACAAAAGTGCTGTTGCCTTCATGGCACGTCTTAGTGTGGATAGCAGTGGTACCTGGCATGTGGGAGGGAGCAGGGTGAAGAGGCAACCTCAGGGTTGTGATAGACAGGACTCAGGTTTGGTTTGGGCAGATGCCATAGGTATAGTATACATAGCATATGTATAGTAAATATATATATATGTGTATATGTGTGTGTGTGTATAGTAGAGGTGTGCATGTGTGTGTGTGTGTAGTAAGTATAGTAAATCCAGACAGGCAAATAGAGCCCAGAGCCTTATGAATTCTGCAGAGGACAGATGGGGACTGAGAGCCCAAATGTTCAAGGTGAGTTTGAGTCTGGGAAGTTAGCCAAGACAGGAGACAGAAGCACGTGGAATTGATGAACAGGGAGGTGACTTCCTAGAGCAGCAGCACTTTGCTGTCAGCTTCCAGTGTCCCTGGGTGTGCAGGAATCTCAGGTGAGTAGGCTGCCGAGGAAAGGAATAACCTCAGGTCTTGGCAGTCCCAGATAGGCAAGCACAGAGAGCTACCTTTTCTACAGGACTTCAGACGCTTCCTGTCTCTCCCAAATGCAGGGCTCGCAGAAAACAGCCTGGACTCACTGGTGTTTGAGTCCTTGATTCCCAAGCCCATCCTGCAGCGCTACGTCTCCCTCCTGATAGAGCACCGTCGGATCATTCTCTCTGGCCCCAGCGGCACTGGGAAAACCTACCTGGCCAACCGGCTGTCTGAGTATATGGTGCTTCGAGAGGGACGGGAGTTGACAGACGGGGTTATCGCCACTTTTAACGTGGACCATAAGTCCAGCAAGGTGAGGAGGTCATTCTGAGTCTGCTGTATTTTTTGGCCCTTTCGAAACTGATGATATCATCAGGCTAGTGCCTGATGGGAAAACAGCTTTTCCTATCAGCTCTCCTTGGGTGGTTTTAGAAAGCCCAGTGAAGGAAATTCAGAGGGGACTAGCAGAAAGGAAGACTCCACTCCGATCCTCCCAGTAGGAAGTTCCATCTGTGGTTAAGCCGATCGAGCTCATTTATGATGCTCAGTCCTGGTAGTTCTTTAATGTTATGCAAGATACGTCTGTTGCAGTTTACCAAGAAGTTATCATGTGTGTACTGGGTGTTACCGATTTTCCAAAATAAAATATGTTTGGAACAATAATGACACAATTAACAAAAATAACAATAATAAAAACAATAGAAGCCCACATTTATGGACTGCTTGCCCCATCGCCAGCAAACACCTTCTCGCAGCAATACCTTCAAGGGAGTAGTTGTCACCATCCCCATTTTGTAGAGAAGGAAACAGAGGCTTAAAGCAGATTGGTCCTGCGCCTAAGACCACTCAGATGGTACTAAGTGGTAGAACTGAAGCTTAAGTCAAAATCTTGGACTCTAGAGCCCTGTGGCCAGCAAATAGGTTGGATCCTGCTTCACAGTGAGCAATGGAAACCAGTTTGAATGGAGCCCGACCTGGTCCCAGCTGAGAGTTGGAAAGTGCTTTCTCAGACCTGTTCATTCATGCATTAGTGAGCACTGATGGATAATTGACTCTAGCTGGCCCTGTGCAAAGGGGCCTGAGGATCAAAGGTGGATTGGAAATGACTCCTTGGCCTTAAGGATCACCTGGTGTGCTTGAAGACACAGGTTCCTAGACCTCGCTTGATGGTCTATTTCATTAGGTTGTTTGAGGCTGGGCATCTGTACCATCTACAAGCTCCCCAAGTAACTTGATGTAGGTGCAGGACAAGAGAGACGTACCCAGAGCCCTTCTGTTGAGAGCCTTTGTGTGAGTTAGGGAACTTCTCCTGGGACCAGTAAGTGAAGGCTCTGCAGGTATGGGGAGCCACGTGCTTGGGGCCCAGAGATCACGGCGAAGAGGGACTAAAAGAACCAGTCACTTTAAAAGGTGGGCTTCTTCTACTGCTAACAAGTCATATTTTGACTTAAAATGGAGGCCCAGGGTGGATGGGTGCTGGTAGGAGAGGGAGAAGATATTAGCCCCTGAGCAAGCAGGCTCGCATCTAAGACAGGCCAGTGTGGTGAAGATACTGACTGGAGCAGGAACCCAGCTCTGACCCATGCCCACTGCTTACCCACTGTGCACTCGCAGGCCAGGCACCTGATCGTATCATGCCTCAGCTTCTCCATCTGTAAAATGGAGGTAATCATACTACTCACTTCTAGGTTACTGTGGGACTACAGAAGTTCCGGTGTGTAAGGCTCTTAAAGCCCTGCCTGGCTCTAAGTGATGCCAGCTATCATGATGATGACAGTAATGGCAGGCAGCCATCGTAGGTTCTCTGCCAGCTCCTTACCTTGCCATTTCAGCCTTTTCCACAGATGCACCATTATTCTTCCTCTTCCATTTTTGACATGCATCCGTTACCCCAGGCATGCAGGGCTGTGTTCTAGTCCCTGCTGAGCCAATGCCCCACCCATTCGCCAAGGTTAAATCCAAAGCCTGCCCTTTCAGCAGGATTTCCCCAAGCCCGGTGCATGTAGACTCATCTCCCCTGTGCTGTGTGTTGTGTCTGCCACAGCACTACTCAGCCTGACTTAAGTGTGTGTCTGGCTCCTCTGCTGCTCTGATGTGTAGAGGGCTTCTGTGTATATAGCTCTCAGGCCACATACATACAGAGCACAGTGCTGTGCTTTTACCCCAGGCTCAAGGTTTTCAGTCACTGGGTGAATACTGACTGTAAGGCAGGACCCAGTCCTGACTCATCCCATGCCCACTCTGCATCCCCTGAGCACCAAGCCAATGCCCTGTAATAGGCAGACACCCGGAATGTGTTCACAGCGCAGCATCATGAAGGGCCTTTCCGCCTCCACTGGCCTGGGTGAGGCAAAGACCCTGAGCAGTGTGTCTTCGCTGAGTACATTCACCAACTTGTTCTCCTTCGGCCTTCCTGGCCACCATAGGAATTGCGCCAGTACCTGTCCAACCTTGCTGACCAGTGCAACAGTGAGAACAATGCTGTGGACATGCCCCTTGTCATCATCCTGGACAACCTACACCACGTGAGCTCTCTGGGCGAGATCTTCAACGGGCTGCTCAACTGCAAGTACCACAAATGGTAAAGGCTGGTTCTGGACCTCATAGCCCCCAGGAGAGAGTGCTGCCACCTTATGGGGCACTGTGCACACAGGCGGCCCAGGGCCGGTGTGAGAGTGAAGCTGTGCACACACACAGGGTTGGGAGGGGGTGGTGGCTAGCTGTCCACCGGCCTGGAAGCACAGGGCCGCGGGCCTCTGTGACCACCTTGTTCTCTAGCTTGGCTTGAACTCACAGCTTTCTTTTCTTTTATTTTACCCACAGCCCTTACATAATTGGCACAATGAACCAGGCTACCTCTTCGACTCCCAACCTGCAACTTCACCATAACTTCAGGTCAGTTTTCCCTTCCCTTGTCCAGTTACCCTATGGAATCACAAAGAGGGAAAGCAAGACGGGGCGAGTAGAGACGCCTGCGTTGAGTATGCGTTGTATGCTACTTAAGCATTTTTCTCAGCTTAATCCATTTAATTTTAACTTCAGCCTCAAGTAATTACATTTACCACTCTCCGTTTACAAATGGGGAAACTGAGGCCCAGAGACTTCAGTGACTTGGGTGAGGTCACACACTGGTCAGTGGCAGAGTGGAACTTGCACTCAGGTCTCTGCCTCTGAGTCCTGCTGTCACAGGGTCAAAGGGGCAGCTCTGGAAGGGACTGCAGGTGACCCTGCTGCCCTCTTGTTACCAGTGGCGTCTCTCTGTCCCAAGTGAACATGAGCAACGGCAGCTTTTACCTAAAATGTCCCCACCTAGCTGGGCCTGTAGGCCCTCAAGTCCCAGCTGCTGTGACTCCCTGCCAGCTCGTCTTCCCTGCCCCGCTGCCACAGCACCATGCTGGTGCTCTCTCACGGCCAGGGTCTGGGAGGGACCGTTCTCCTCGGTTGTGCTAGGTTGCATTACTGTCTGATTGACATCGCCAAACACCCCTTGCCCCATATAATGAATCTCAGTTGACTTCACCTCTCCTGCCTGGGTCCTTAGAGGTGGATGTGAAGCTGTCTCCTGGGCTGGGACCCCCGGCTCATTTCCACTGGCCATTCTGCAGGCATCTCTGAGGGAGATCTATTGAAAGTGGGTCTGAATGTAATTACTAGAGAAATGTTGACTCCTCCAGCACACTGAGAGCATGGCTCACCTCTGCATTTAGGCTGTCCTGGTCTTGTTCATGCTTTCCCCTAACTATCCCTCAAGTCCATCGTCCTCCTCTTACCCCCATCACTGCCCCATCATCACCCAGCACACCATTGCCATCACCTAGTCAGTACGTCTGCTTGCAGCCTCCCCCCTGCACCCTGTAGCCAATCCTCTACACTGTGGCAGCCAGACCAGAGTGAGCATTCTAGAATGCACATCTGACCATAGAACTCTCGTGCTTAAAGTCCTTCAGTAACTCCAGCTCCCTATGGCCTGCAGAATGAAATCCAGACTCCGTGGGTTGGCAGGTCAAGTCTGAACTTCAGTCACACTAAACTTCTGGTAGTTTCTGCAAACACCCATGCTGTTTCCCATGCCTTTGCGAAAGCTGCAGCATCACCCCACTCCTGACCCTAACACCTGCTCCTGCCTTTCCTTATGTTGCTGCCCATTAACTGTCCAGTCTCAGCCCAGACATCCCCTCCTCTCAGGAGCCCTCCCTGATTCCCTTAGGCTTCATCATATTTCATTTCTCTCTTTGCCTATCTGCCTCCTCCACCAGACTGTGAGCTCCTGGGGACCAGGACTGTGTCTTAGTCATAGTGATAGTTCCATAGCGTAGCACAGGGTCTGACACCAAGCACAAGAGGCAGTTTATCTCAGTGGGTACAGCCTAGCCGCTGGAGCCAGGCTTCTTGGTTCCCATCTTAGCTCTTCAATTAACTAGCTGTTTGATCCTGGAAAAGTTACATGACCTGTCTGTTCCTTAGCATTTCTGTCTGTAAAATGGAGGTGGTGATAATATCTATGTTAGAGGGTTGCTATGAGGAACTGTGAGTTAATACATAGTTACAATGTTTAGAACTGTTCGGTGCATCGCTAATCCAATTTGTTGCATTAGCATATACACCTTCTGTTTCTAACATGCTTTGGTTCCTGAGGTCAGCCATCATTTGGATCCCTATCATCTTGAAAAGTGTTTCTGACTTCCTCCAGATGGGTGCTTTGTGCCAACCACACGGAGCCTGTGAAGGGTTTCCTTGGCCGGTTCCTGAGGAGGAAGCTCATGGAAACAGAGATCAGTGGGCGGGTGCGCAATATGGAGCTGGTAAAAATCATCGACTGGATTCCCAAGGTCTGGCATCACCTCAACCGCTTCCTGGAGGCTCACAGTTCCTCGGACGTCACCATCGGTGGGTGGGAGACTGGGTTGAGGGGGTGGGCTGGCATCCTCAGGTGCCCATCCTCTGGGCCCTGGCCAGGACAGGACTTTGCAGGCACAGTCAGCAGAAGCTGGACTGTCCATAAAGATAGAAAGGGGGCAGAGGGACAGTCACAGTCCAGGCAGACCCCAGATTGCTAGTGGTCTGCAGAAGAGAGATGTGTCCATCCTGGCCCGACGTAGAAACTGCTAGCTCACTAAAGAGCTCCCACCTCAAGGTTCCCCCAGGCTGAAGCTACCCTCAGGATTGGCTTTGCTTGAAAAATGAAGTTTTACCAGCATTTCTGAAAGCTGGACATTTAGAACAGAGAAAAAAAGATCACTAACCATCCCACCATCTTGACATAATTTTCATTATTCGAACTAAGATTTCTGTCCTTGTTCATATATATATATATATATATATGTTTACACTTTATGTAGTGGCAATCATAGCATACATATAACATGTTCCTTTTGGCCAGGCATGGTGGCTCCTGCCTGTTATCTCAGTACTTTGTGAGGCCAAGGCAGATGGATCATCTCAGGTTAAGAGTTCGAGACCAGCCTGGCCGACATGGTGAAACCGCGTCTCTACTCTAAAAATACAAAAAATTAGCTGGGTTTGGTGGCATGCACCTGTAATCCCAGCTACTCAAGAGGCTGAGGCAGGAGAATCGCGTGAACCCAGGAGGTGGAAGCTGCAGTGAGCCAAGATTGCACCGTTGCATTCCAGCCTGGGGAACGGAGCTAGACTCCAAAAAAAAAAAAATCCTTTTTCATTTAGCACTATCTCATGAGCATTCTCTGTTGCTACTCAGTTGTTGTTTTGTTTTTGTTTTTGCTTTTTGAGACAGAGTTTTGCTCTTGTTGCTCAGGCTGGAGTGCAATGGCGTGATCTCAGCTCACAGCAACCTCCGCCTCCCAGGTTCAAGCAATTCTCCTGCCTCAGCCTCCCGAGTAGCTGGGATTACAGGTGCCTGCCACCACACCCGGCTAATTTTTTTTGTATTTTTTAGTAGAGAAAGGGTTTCTTCATGTTGGCTAGGCTGATCTCGAACTTCTGACCTCAGGTGATCCACCAGCCTCAGCCTCCCAAAGTGCTGGGATTACAGGCATGAGCCACCATGCCCAGCCAATTACTCAGTTTTTAAAATTATTTTTAAAGGCTGCAAAATGATCAAATGCAGACGTACTCTCATTTGCTTAACTGTTTCTGTTCTTTTGGACTTGTAGTCATGGGCTTCCATTTTTAAAAATCAAGATTAGTAATGCCACAGTGAGCATCTTCCCCATCAAGCCTTTCCTGGAGGAGGGAGACCCCCAGGTGGAATCAGGGGTCAGAGTGTCCTTCTCTGTGCCCACCATCCAAGGCTAGTGTGTCTGTGTACAGGCCTCAGCCCTGCCGTCCGAACGTCCAGGGTCCCTCCTGGGAAGGGTGCTCGGACCATGGCTTCACCCGATGCCCCGTCACGCACGCCCATTTGAGTGCTAATGTATTTTCACTGTGGTCTCCAGGCCCCCGGCTCTTCCTGTCATGCCCCATCGATGTGGACGGCTCGAGAGTGTGGTTCACCGACTTGTGGAACTACTCCATTATCCCCTATCTCCTGGAAGCTGTCAGAGAAGGACTCCAGGTGAGAAGACACCCCTGCTGGCTTCCTCGAAGCCGAGGGGGACTGTTCTGGTGACCAGATGAGTTGTCTTTATCTCCTCCTCCAGGAATCTGACTGACATGGGGTGACAACCCCTCGCCTGGGAAGTCATCAGTCTAGCACAGTGTAAGGACACCTGGCTGCAAGTCCTGGTTCTGCCACCCATTAGCGCTGTGACCCCAGGCCAGCTGGTTAGCCTGTCTGTGCCTCAGAGCCCTCATTGATATCCTGCCACCAAGAGTTTGTTGCAAGGATGAAACAAAAGTGCTCAGCATCGTGAGTGCATGAGAAGTAGAACCATATACATGTGTAGTACTGCACAGTTTGCAAAATATTCTCCTATCTGCCTTTTGGGTTAAGCCTTGGATTAGTCGTAGAACTTGGACAGAAATTTGGTTTTTTACTCCATTTTTAAGAGAAAAAAATGAGGCTCAAAGAGAATAAATGATGTGCTTAAGGTTACAAAAGGGAAACTTGAAAGGTCTGTGATTTGACTCCATGCCTTCTGGGTCAACTTCCAGGTTCTTAGCCCTGAGGCTGGTGGCACTCTTTCCCTGACATCAGCACCCCTACCCTCTTAGGTAACTTTGGGGCCCGTAAGGCTGCCAGTTCCTCCTGCCTGGCAGCAGTTGGAAAGCACAAATTCTTTTTTTTTTTTTTTTTTTTTTAGACAGAGCCTTGTTCTGTCACCCAGACTGGAATACAGTGGCACAATCTCAGCTGACTGCAACCTCCACCTCCTGGGTTCAAGCAGTTCTCATACCTCAGCCTCCCAAGTAGCTGGGATTACAGGCATGTGCTACCAGCCCGGAAAGCACAAATTCTTACTTCTCACTTAACCCAGGGTTTAAATGGAAGCTTACCATTAATTTGGAACTTGGGATAGTTTTATTGTTGAGCCTGGAGGCAGCTCAACAAGGCTGCCTAAGAAGTTCTGTAGGCTTTTAATACTCGCAGTGCATAATTAGCAGACATCACGTGTGGCTGAATAATCCAGAAACCAGTTTGGTAGCCAGGTTTCCAAGAGCTTCTTTGTTTCCTTGGTACTGGACAATGGGAGACACAAGATGCTATCGTAGGCCTGTGGAGGGCGCAGGGACCGGTGTGCACCCGCAGGCACGTGGGTGACAAATGCAATTTAATGGCTGCAGTCAGTGTTTGTCATTTCTCTATATTGGGCTGAACTGAGAAATATTGAACTATTTTCTGTGTATGATTAATAGCAGCAATGATGGTCTTCAGAGGCATTCGGGACAAAGGGAGCTTGAAAAGGAAAATATTTTGCCTCTTGTGATGCATTTCATTAAACTGGAGCATACGCGTTGCAAATTCAAGTCAGCATATTTAATACAAGTGTATTGTGAAAGCAGGAAAAAAGCAAGAAATTAGGCAACCTTTGGCCAGCCCCAAATCATTAGTTAACAGTGCTCTGTCAACTGTTGCTTTCATACAAGAAGGTATGAATGACTTTAGATCTTTGCAGTGGAATCTCCCTAGGTAGGTAAAGTCACTGGCCTGGATTAAATTGACCACAATTTAGTCCTGAATCAAGTAGTTTTGTTAGTACCACAGACCCAAACAACCACCCAGTCATTCCTACTTTGGGGCCAGTAGAAGCATCTCCTACCTGCTGGATTCTTGCAGTCTGTCTCATTTCAGAGGCCTCTCTCCTCTGTTCTCATTGGTGGCTTCCAGGGAGTGTGATACGCCCAGCACCTCTGGGAAACCCAAGCTGCTTAAGAAAAGCAAAGAGAATTGCAGGCAGATGAGGTGGACTGTTTGCCCCTGATTCTACCTCACCTTCTCCCATTTGCTTCATCTTTGCTCTCAGTATTGTCTTCTGGTATAGGAAGGGGAGTGACTGGGAGTCACTGGGAAGAACTCATGGGCTCTGCTGAATAAAGGCCTCCTCTGCCCTGGGAGGCATTAACCCGGAAGTAGGGAGCCTGTCTGTGCTCCAGCCTTGAGCTGCACTTGAGCAAGCCCCTCATTGGTTACCAGTGGACGGCCGTGCCAAGGCCCTGCTCCTTTGGACCGGAACCTAAAAGAAGACTTTCTGGGCATGGCTGGAAAGGAACTCCCCTTCCCACCTAGGAGAGGTTGCTGATGGAGCTGATCATAGAGGAGCATTAGGTGTCCTTCTCAGCATGAGAAAGTGAGGCCCCAGCAATCTGGGGCAGGAAGCAGAGACATGCTCCAATCTCAAGACTCACCAGTTCAGTGTGAGGCAGGAAAAGTCATCACTGCTTTGTGCTTTGAGGTCATTTGAAGGTTAGTCTTTCAAGAGTACAGAGCTGCAAAGGGAGGCGGCCAGAGTTTGCATCCCACTAAGTGGCTCAAAAGTGAGCCACTATGCCCCAAACCTGTGACCTCGTCATCCTGATGAACCCAGGAGACCGTGTAGACTCTGCGGATTCCTGGGGAAGCTTGCTGTGTTCTTCATGCCTCTGGTTTTGAAGGAACATTTGGTGATGTTTTTTGAGGGCCTGCTACTTGCCAGGCACTATTAGGGGCCTGACATGCATGATCTCATTTAGTTCTGACAGCCCAGTGAGTCTCTTACAGATGAGGAAACTGAGGCTCACGGACGTTCTTGCCCCTTACCAAGTCCCCTCAGCAGGGTATGATGGAGGGAGCGTTGGTGCCCAGGACTAGCTGACCCCTGGCTACTTCTGTTATTTTCAGCTATCCTGAGGACCCCCTTCACTCCACTGAAAAGCCTCAGGTAGCTTAGGGAACCAAATACTGAATTTTATAGAATGGAGTTCCCCTTATTATTTCATTTGACAAAAGAATTCCTTTATTTTTAAAAAATTAAAATTCCATACTCTCCTTTGTGTTACTTTGAGTACACGCCTACTCTAGGGTCACCTGCCCCTCACCTTACCCAGGTAAGTGGCCATGAAGTGAGCATGTTGCAGTTCAGAGTGAGTAATCCCTTGGCCCAGGTTCTAGTCTGAGAAGAGGTGGAGTCCCTCGAATGGGTTCTGACAGGGCTGCCGTGCACCAGGAGCTGGGATGCAGGGCTGCCTCCCCATGGTAGTATGGATTTGGTGGGAACATAAGGAGACCCGCTGTCTTCAGGGGATGAGGATGGCTTCCAGGCAGCCCCTCCCACAGGTACACCCGTGCCAGGAGGAGACATGATATCGCCCTCTAGTGAGCATAAGGTAGCACTGCAAGGGTGTGTATGTGCAGATGCACTTGTGGAACTCCTTGGAGGAGCTTCCTGAATGTGCAGCTGATGCATTTTTCTGTGATGTGCACACGCTCCCAGGAGCCCCCTGCATCCCACAGTCAGAAGGCTCACAGTGGCCCAGGTTTTAGTTTTCAACGTCTCAGCTCCCTGTTGTCCTGCTCCCATTTTTCCTGACCCAGTAGGGATGCCAGGTTTCTTCCCCTGCCTTAGGGAAAGTGAATGTCCTCCCCTCTGTGTCTGTCTGTCCAACTGTCTCTGCTGTTACCCTCAGGGCCTGCAGTGGAGCTGAGGAGCTTTATGATGTTTCCATTGCTTGCCATGGTTCTTACCCAGCCATTCATCACCCAGACTTGAACATGTCCAGTGACAAGTGAGGAGGCTTGTAAAAATATTTTCTGTTCTTGCAGATGATGTTAGCGTGTACCTAATGTGCATTTGTCTTATGACTCAGTCCTCAGCCCTGCTTCCCTTTGGAGCTGTCATTGGAAACACTTGCCAAAGTGTCTGAAGTCTACAGGGTAACTCAAAAGACCTCTCTGTGCCTAGGGCAGGTCTGGTTCCTGCAGGGAACAGGAACAGTGCAGGGTGAGTGCAGGGCCATTTATCAGATTATCCAGCCTCCTCTGAAACCCCAGACAGGTCTCCTGTCTCTTGGCCTTGGGTTCTCCATCTATAAATTGACAAGTTTGGACTAGAAGAGTGTTTTTTTCAGGCTGGTTTTTATGAAGCCCCCAATCTACTCAGTTGAGGACCAGAGATGAAGAGCAAATGTTTGAAAACCACAGTGCCAGGTAATCTCTGAGGACAGGTTCAGCTCCAGGAGTTCTAGCCTCTGTGATTCTGCAGCCCTGAGCATGTCCTCATCCAGGCTGTAGGGTGGAGACAGAAGCAGTAGCCGTCATAGAAGCAGTAGCTGTGAGGGCTTGGTTCAGCCTCATGTGAGGTCTGGCTTGGGAAATGCAGCCCAGTTTCCACAGGGAAAGACCTCAGAGGGAGAAACTTCTCAAAACTGCACAAATGGTTCTAGTCTGGAGCAGCCTTCTTCTGCTCCAAATATCCCACTTTTGTGTTCTCTTCTGCCCTGAGACACATGCCCACGTACACACAAATGCATGCCCCTCACACGATTCCTTCCTGCTCACGCAATAATTGCCTTTCAAATGCCAGAGTGAGTTCCTAGGCCTGAGATTCACTCCTGCTAAGGAAGACTGAGCAACAGACTGGGCCAGAACATGGGACGGGAGGAGTGCTGGTGTCTGGGAAGGCAATGAGTCATAGGAGGCCGCGTGACTTAAGCAGAGGGGGTGATATCCACAAATGCAGAGAGATGGACCCATCTGAGAAGCGGCTGGATGGCCAGCTTCCCTGACAGAAATCATACCTAGAGGTCCCAGTTGGCACAGAAGGTCACGGGAGCATGGGCACCGCTAGCGGGGACAATGAGCCAGCAGGCTGGCACACTGATATCTGGCCAACAGCCTGCTCCGCGTCTCCCTGCTCTGGGTCTGGCTGAGTCACGTGGCTCTGACTGATAGAGTTGTTCCAGGTGGTGTCAGTCAGGAGGGGTGGAGAGGAAAAAGGCCTGGCAAAGGAAGTTGAAGTTCTAGGTTCAAATCGGGCCCTGCCTGACAACCTTTCTCAGCGGGCTCTGCTCTTTGGGCCTTGATTGGCCCATCTGGTAAATGAGGGGGTGGGGCTAGGTGGCCCCAACTCCTTCCCCTTGGAAAGAAGTGGTTTTGTTGGTTCAGAGCTCAGCTTTGCACTGTTGTCAGCACTTTGCTCTCTGTACCCTCTCCACTGCAGGATTCCCGGGAGGGCAGGGGGAGCAGACAGCCAGCCAGCCATGGCCACCCTAGAGACACACTACAGCCGTGGTGGCCCACAGGACTCTTTAGTCTCTGTGCCTCAAGGCCCCCTGCAGAGTCCTCTTTGCAGAACTACAGGCGACACTGCCCTGGCTGTGAGCGTGTCCTGCCACATGGACCAAGTGGGCCAAACTAGTGGGCCATGGAGTTGAACACACTTAGTTTCCAATTCTGGCTTCTCTCCTCCCTGGGCCTGTTTCCTCGGGCAGTAGTACTTCCTCTTGGAGTTGCCCGGTGGTTAAGCAAGGTATTTGTAAAGCATTTCTCACAGTACCTGGCACACAGTCAGCTGCAAGATGTGGTGGTGTTAAAGGAGAAAGATACAAAGCCTATACCTAGCTGCGTAATATGCAGAGCCTCACATTGGGAAGGGGTCCAGTCTAGGTTTCTGTTCTTTAAGGAATGTATGTATTTCTTCAAATTGCTAGTAGTGGTCACTAAAATGATTTTACCATTAGATAATTGAGGCTTAACAAAAGGAGCTTGGAGGCATGGTGTTGATCTTACTATAAAATTAAGTGATAATATAGTTTACTGTTTTAAGAGCCAATTAGCTATTATGGAATTTTGAGAAACACATGACAAGGGAGAAGTCCTGATAATTTCACTGCTTATGTGCTGCGTCTTTTAGCAATTTGCTGTTTTGAAAAGGAGCAGTGCTTCTATATAGGGGCTGTGAGAGTCAGACCCATTTCAAGAAATGGGTTTTATTGAGACAGGACCAGCCCAGCACAGTGGCTCACACCTATAATCCCAGACCTTTGGAAGACCAAGGCACGAGGATTGTTTGAGCCCAGAAGTTAGAGACCAGTCTGGGCAACAGAGAGAGATCCCATCTCTTGAAAAAAAAAAAAAAAGTTTTAAAAATTAGCCAGACATGGTGGCACACAAGCAGTCTCAACTACTTGGGAGGCTGAGGCAGGAGGATCACTTGAGCCTGGGAGATTGAGGCCACAAGGAGAGTGATCATGCCACTGTACTCCAGCCTGAGCAACATTGCACAAGCTTGTCTCAATACAAAATAAAAATAAATATTGAGCCAGGGCCATTGTGACCTCTGCCTGCAGTGCTGATGCCCAGCACCCAAGGTATGTAAGCGGTACTCTTTGGGTAGATGCACCCAGTGGAGTACTAGAGCTGGCTCTTAAAAGCTGGTAGCACCTCTTTCCAACTCCACATCCAGTGACATCATGTCAGTGATTTGAAATCAGTCATGGTGGGATTGTACCATGGAAGTCAGCAAATGCTTCAAATCAGGTCATTGTTTTTCCCCCAGAGCCAGTTTTCCAAATTGGATTACCAAGGCTCAGAGTTTAGGGTCACCTGGTGAGTCAGTGGCAGAGCTGAAACATGAACCCAGATCGCCCTGACTCCAAAGCCTGTGCTCTAGACCACTGGGTCATGCTGCCTTCAGCCTTAGCACCTCGAGCCATCTGCATCTTGGATGACTTCCTAAGGATGGAATTCTAGAAGTGGAATTACTCCATCAGGGAAGGCATGATGCTGGGTTTGGGGAGTTTTTTCAGAAAGCTGCAAAACTGGGGCTCCAAGAGAGATCTCGGCCACTTCCAGACTGTTCCTTCTTTGCCTGTTTTCAGCTCTATGGAAGGCGTGCCCCCTGGGAGGATCCTGCCAAGTGGGTGATGGACACATATCCATGGGCAGCCAGCCCACAACAACATGAGTGGCCTCCCCTGCTGCAGTTACGGCCTGAGGATGTCGGCTTTGACGGCTACTCCATGCCTCGGGAAGGATCGACAAGCAAGCAGGTGCCCCCCAGTGATGCTGAAGGTGATCCGCTGGTGAGTCCTCAGCTGGCAGAACAGTTCAGCATTCGTTGAGCACTTACTGTGTGTTGGGTATGATGCAGGGCCTCTGGAAATACAAAGGTGACTAAACCCAGCCTTGCTTTAGAAGGCTGGACTCAAATGACTGGGCCATTTGGAAAATGACCCCAAGGTTAGGGCCATTTTTGCCAATATTTTCTTCCATGGTTTTTGTTTTTCCCCAAAGACCTTTCCTCTAAAAATTTTTTTCTGGTTCTAGACAAAAGGTTAAGAATTGATTTTTCCCCTTAAATGTTCTTATACCTACTGTCTCTGTACAACTCTTTGCCCTCTAATTTGGGATGCCACCTCTATTACCTACTATCCTATTACTTTGATCTCTCCTACCAGTAACAGAGCAGAGGAAGAGATTGCTAAGGACCAGAAGCCCAAGGCAAATGATCAGGAGGGTAGACAGGGAGAGGTTTGAGGGCAGGAGGGACTCACAGAGGGGAGGGGGCCTGAATATGAGTCCCATGGTCATTGAGATAAGCTCAGTCTTTAATACTGTTTAAGCTTCTTATTTATTTGGCTGTTGCTAAAACAATAAAGGCCCTTTAGGAAGCACCCGGGCTGGGGTGGCTCACTCCTGTAGTCCAAGCACTTTGGGAGGCCGAGGCAGGCAGATCACGAGGTCGGGAGATCAAGACCATCCTGGCTAACACAGTGAAACCCTGTCTCTACTAAAAATACAAAAAAATTAGCCAGGCATGGTGGCATGCACCTGTAGTCCCAGCTGCTTGGGAGGCTGAGGCAGGAGAATGGCGTGAATCTGGGAGGTGAGCTTGCAGTGAGCCGAGATTGTGCCACTGTACTCCAGCCTGGGCGACAGAGCAAGACACTGTCTCAACAACAACAACAACAACAACAACGAAGCACCGGGCTGGGTGCAGTGACTCATGCCTGTAGTCCCAGTGCTTTTGGTGGCTGAGTTGGGTGGATTGCTTGAGCTCATGAGCTCGAAAACAGCCTGGGCAACGTAACAAAACCTCTTCTCTACAAAAAATACAAAAATTAACCGGGCATGGTGGCACATGCCTATAGTCCCAGCTACTCAGGAGACTGAGGTGGGAGGAGCCCAGGTGGCAGAGTTTGCAGTGAACCAAGATTGTGCCACTGCACTCCAACCTGGTTGATAGAACCAGACCTTGTCTCAGGCAAACAAACAAACAAACAAAAGAAACACCTGGGCCAATCACAGTAGCATTTCTAATTAATTGTAGTACTCTACCAATATAAGACCCATGCAAAGTCATACTGCTAAATTAGACCTAACAAGTCAAAAGCCCAATAAAATACAGAGGAAGCAAATATACCAAAACCTCCCATGGTTAAAGGACGATTATCATGCCTTAAATTTAGGCCCAAGCTTTCTTGGCAGGCATAGCTAAAAGAAAACATAACAGAGAATATTATTTGCATTACCTAAAAGAAAATATAAGAGATGTAGCAGGATTAAAAGACAACTGATTTACTGTTCTATTCCTAGCAGCTAATTAAGTCCCTAGATGATGATAATAATAATAATAATAATAATAATAATAATAATAATAGGCAATTCAGGTTGTCTGCCATCCTGCTGTTTGGTGGGATGTAGCTGTGGTTCTGTTGAAGATTTTAGTGGGAACTGTATTTTTTAAGGATTTATTATTTGTATTGCCATGTGCAACCTAGTTTGCAATATTTATAACAGTAGTCTTACAAAGGAAAGAGGCATACTTTAAACAGCCATTTGCAATGTTAACCATTGCCGAAAGCCAAGGTCACGGAGGTATTTTTGAGGAAACAAACTCATGAGGTCTTAACTTACATAGAAAATAGAATTTAGTATATCTAGAGGAAAGAATGGCCAGCCCATCCCTAAACAATCTTTTCTGAGCCAGTAACATTTGTATCACTGGTTGGACACAGAAGGTGTGTAGGTAAGACTCAGGATTCTTGGAAGAATTCTCCTTCCAACCCCAGGCCCCCAGAAGTGAGCTGTACCAGTCCAGTCACTTCTATTATCAAGTTAGATATTTGATATTTGTCCCAGTTCTGCTCTTTCTGCCCAGGGCCATGTGTCTCTATTATCATAGCTCTCTTATGTGTTAATCCTTCTCACTCACGAGACTGAGACCTTCATGAGAACAGGATTTATTTGTTTTTGTTCCAGAACCATATACTGTGGACATACTGGGAGTGTTTAATGAGTGAATAAGTAATCCCAGTTGCCAAGGATTGTCCATTATACTTCAGCTCTGCCTCTTCCCTGGTTATGGCTGTGCAGATGGACACCAGATGATGGTGCTTCTGCAGCCTGGCACATCTGGGTAGACTCTGCAAAGCATCCTGAGGGGCAGCTGGATTGTACGCCCAGCTGCACCGCATCTTGGCCTTAGCTCAGGCCCCATATTCCTGACTTACTTGCTATATAAAATATACAATACATACACACAATTTACAGTTATAAATAAAAGTAGCCTTTATTCCCTCTCCCCACTCCCAAACAAGTGACCCGTAAAACGTAAACAAGGGCAGATTCAAGAACACTGTCGCTAAACTCTTTTCTTTAAGTTACATGGTGATGACAACAGATGACATTTATTAAGCACTTACTATATGCCAGGCCATCCCCTCTTCTAAGGGTTTAATACACATTATATCATTTTATTGCCTACTTCAACCCTATGAGAAGTGTTGCCATTCTCCCCATTCCATAGATGACGAACTGGTGGCTCAGATACCTTAGGTAACTTGCCCAGAGATTCCTGAACCACAAGCGAAGGCTCTTTGCACTCGGATGCTTTGCTTGTAACTGGCACTTCCCCTCACCTCCCTGCCAAGGCTTCCACAGGAGCTGGAGCACAGTTGGCTCCAGTCTGACCTGGCCAGAGCAAGGAAAAGAGACAGGTTTGATGCCTGTCGAAGCGGGAGGGGGTCCGTGTGCTTCAGATTTTGGTGACGCTGACGCCAAGTTCCAGGAGCCGGGACACTCAGCCACACCTTCATCCAGGCCAAGGGCTATGCCTGAAAGGTGTGCCCCTCCTAAATAGAAAATAAATATAATATGTATAGAGAGCATCATTTTGTTTTTCAGCGCTCTACATATATTAACTCAATCCACTCCATAACGTTATAGGGCAGGTACTATTATTATTCACATTTGACCAGTAAAGAAACAAGTATGAAGAGGTTAAGTAACGTGTTCAAAGTCATGCAGCTAGTAATTGGTGAAGTTGGGATTTGAACCCTGGAAGCCTGGCCCAAAGTCCATGTTCTTGTCCACTGCCTCCACTGTGGGCTGTTATCCCAGGTGAGTCTGGAGGAGGTGGCATGACCTTCTAGGGGTCCAGGGTGGGCAGCCAACTAGACAGAAAGCAGCTCATGCTTCCCCACTCTTCCCCTAGATGAACATGCTGATGAGGCTGCAGGAGGCAGCCAACTACTCCAGCCCCCAGAGCTATGACAGCGACTCCAACAGTAACAGCCATCACGATGACATCTTGGACTCCTCTTTGGAGTCCACTCTGTGACAGGGGCCCGGAGCCCAGCGCCCTCCTCTTCTCCTCGCCCCGTTCCACCTGCATCCCCAACATCATCCTGAAGTTGACTTCCTGAGCCAGCCCCCAGCCGCAGCCCTAAAGCTGCGGGAACACCAAGACCCCTCATCCTTCAGCCTCGACCTGGGTGCAGGCATCCTGGGCCAGCTGCCTGCGGACCGCTTCCTTCCACAGCGAGAACTGCACTACCTTCGGTTGTACTTTAATTATTGTTTTGCCTTGTTGCTGTGACCTCCCTAAGACACTGAAGATACTTCTCGGGAAAGGATCATCGCCGTTGAAATGAGAGACAAAAAAAAAAAAAAGAAAAAATAGAACCCACGTGAAGCTCTGAAACCAAACAGCATCCTGACATAAGCTTCCCAGAGACAGAAGAGACTGGAGCAAAGTTGGAAACACAGAGAAGCACGGCTTCCCCTCAGCACAGACCCTCCAGACTGGGTTTCAGAGCCACACCACCCACCCTCCCGCACAGCCGGCCACAGGGAGAACTGGTGCTAACCAGGGTGCTTGCTTTGGTCACGTTCAACGCACTACAGAGCTACGACACAGGGAAACCTTAGGAGAAAATAAACCATGCTTTCATGTTTTTAAAATGGTGCTTTCCTTACTCGAGAGGTATTTTGCCTGTTCCAATCCAACCACCCCATTCAGGTCCATCAGCCTCCGATTAATCCGTGAGAGAGTGAAGGAGTGAGAGTGTGAGCGAGTGGATGTGGCTGTCAGTGCAGAATGGCATGCGTCTGTTTCCTTCTGATATATGAATGAATCAGGTGGTGTTTTTTTTTTGTTTGTTTTTTTGTTTTTTTCTGCAAACACTGTGTATAGTGAGACTTGTTCTACTTTGGAGAACAGATTATCTTTTGAAAATGAGGTTGAGTTTCTTCCTTTCTGATGCATTGATTTTTGAAGATTTTTTTCCCCCTTCCCCTCTTCGTCAGAATCAATCCTTTGGTGAAAGTAAGAACCGCAGGAGTTGAGTTTCGGTTTGGTCCTGCTCAGTTTTGGTTTTTAGTTGTCCATCCTCACAGTCCTACACACTCGCCTCCTCCTGCTAGGGCTGGGGGCATCTGTGTCCTTTAAAATGGATGAGGACCCAGTCCTCGACATGTGGGTGAGCCATGGACCTTGTCTTCCCTTCTCATCCTTGAGGGTTTAGAACACACACCAACACCTCCAGCGCCCCCGCCCCAGCTTCCGGTGGAGTGATGAGGTCACCCCGCAAAAGACTTGCACTTTCCTCAGAACCAACATGACGCAGCTCAACAAGGGTGAGGGTCACCCCCTCCCAGAAGCCCCGTCTGGACGAGCCTTGCCTGACCTCTTCGGTGCTGACCTTCCCAAAGTGATGCCTTACTGGTTTTGTACTAACTGTGTTCATTTTACATAAGTGTCGTGCCTGCCTGGGGTTTGTTTTTTTGTCATTGTTTTCCCCATTGAAACAAACAGGGCTAAAAAGTCATCTGTTCATTAGGAGAACTCAAGTTGCTGTGACTTTTCTCATCCGAAAGACTCATTCATGTGGATGCGTGACCATGGGAAAAAGAAAAAAAAAAAAGATCCATTTTTTAGGTTCTTATCAGTCTCCAGCTGACAACCCAACTGGACAGGGATCTGTCTGGTACAGGAGAAGGCAAAAGCTTCTACAATCTACATGACCTTGCTGATACTTGCTCTAATAGAAACCCAGTCTGCTGTGTCTTCGACATACTGGTATTTTCGTTACAAAGTATGATACATTTTTGAGTTGTTTGTTTCTGTTTTATAAAGAGAATCTTTATTGGACACCAGTGAAGGTGTCTCTGTTTTAATGATCAGGGTTTTTATTCCATCTTTTGCATTTCTATTTCTGAAGATTTGTCTCTTGGCATCTTTTTTTAGTTTCTTACCATAAGAGTTTGACCCGAAACTGCTCACTTCATGTTGGATGACACCATGTTCTTCCTCTTTAAAAAGAAAAGGGGAATGTGTCCCACTAGTGAAAGGAAAACTTTTCAACACTGTCCCTGCTTTAATCTCAGCAAACTCAAGACTATTCTGCTTAGCCTTCATTAGTCATCTGGGAATGAGTGTGTCTTGTTCTGTTTTTGTTTTTAATAAAACTTTCAAACCATATATTTAGCCTGTGACCAGGGGGGCCAAACCTTAAGATTTCTGGTAAATTTCTGAAGGGTGGCCCTCCTTAGACAATTTATCTCCCAGCAATGACCCTACACTCGCGTACTGTGAATTTGGGAGGAGGTAAAGTTGACTTCTCCTTGTGGGCAGTTTTCCAATCACCTTGTGAGTAGACACCTGCCAATATTGTTTAAAACCTTTTTTTAATATGATATCCTCTCTTGTCATTCTCTTCTCCCCTCTCCCACAGACTTCCCTCCCACTGGGTCCAGGTTCAGAACCAAGACTTCTGTACCTGGTGCTGCCTGATTGGTGAACATTGACTTCAAGTAGCATAGCCCTTGTGTGACCCACAACTCAGTGTCCTTCCTAAAGTTTCGGGAAGCAGGGTTGTCTAATATGCACATTTCTTACTTTGGTCATATTTTTACTTTAGTGCCACTCACCTTTGACAAAGTGACTTTGTACTCATTTAGGGCTCTATTGGAAATGCTTCCATTTTGCCTTTTCTACAGTTAGGGCAATTTTGAAATGTATAAATTCTATGCAACATTTATGTTGAGTTACCAATGGAAGCCAAAAGTTCTCTTCCCAAACTGCCAAGGATGATACAGGCCATAAGTGAAATGGGAATACCTTTTAAGTTTCATTAGGGGTGGGGTGGGAGTGGGACAGGAACAAGACTTGCCTAGATCTTTGTTGTATCTTGGGGACTTTTACTTTGTTGTTTGATGCTTAAACTTCAAAATTCTCTGTATTCAAATTTGATTGTGGCGAATCTACTTCAAAAAGGAAAAATAATCCAACTTTGTGGATATTAAATGGAAGGTTTACTGTTTTGATCTAGTTGTTTCCAGTGGAGCAGTTTATGAAATATGTTCTATAAGATGTACATTTTTTCATTGTAACATAGAAATTGTAAATAATTGATTAAAGTGCTGCATTTTGATGAATTTTTTCTAGCCATTTTTAAAGAGAAAACTAGGAATTGAGTATTTTGTGTACGGTATGTTTCCATCCTCCCTCCCCTTCCTCCTCCTCTCCTCTCTCTCTCCTCACCTATTTAATTTTCATTTGTCATGAGGTTTTTGGATTTGCCAATGATCTGCTGGACATCATGCCCCATGTCATAGAGAAGAAAGCTGATGATTGTACCAGTCTTAAATTATTCATGATTCAATAAAATTGATGCTTATTTATTCAGATTAGTGGTTTGGCTTATCTGTGCTAGAGCAAGTCCTCATAAGAGTTTAATTTCATGCGAAGAGCAAGACAGTCTTATCTGGATGCAGCAAATGCAGGGAAAACCCAAAACCTTTGCAAACCTGTCTTGGCTAATATGCCATCCATATCCCGACTCTTCTCAGTTTCTCAGGTCTTTTTGCCACTCCTGTGGAACTTGTTAGAACTGTAGAATTTCAGATCCTCTCAGACTTTATGAATCACCAGGGATCTGGTGGATCCTCAATTTCTAACAAACTCCTAGGCAATACCAGTGCTCTAGTGCCTGGACCACACATTGAGTGGCAAGCAACATCAGTGTCCAGCCAGCCCCCTAAGTCGACCCCTTGGCATGAAAAGGATTTTTTTTAATGTATTGAGTGCCTACTAATTTCCAAATGCTTTCCCAGATACTCAATATAATGCAAAATGATGCCAGAGAGGTATTCTTACTCCCATTTTACAAGTAAAAAAAACGGAAAATGATGTGCCAAGGAACCTATAGCCAAGAAGTGAGTTGGAGTTTCAGCCCCATCTTCTGACAGTCCTGCCTTGCCGGGCTGCCTTCTAGTCTTGGGGGCCTCCTGCCACATCGCAGCTCACATCCATAACAGACATAGGCAGTGGGAGATGACCTTACATCTCAGCATTCACTTTAAATAGCAACAACAAAAAAGGCGCGGTTTGGAGTCCTGTGGGTTCGCAGTGAAATTGATCCCACATGGTTGGCTCAACTGCTTACGACATGAAGTGTCTCACTCTTAACATACAACAGTGGCCCAACCAGGGAGGAGGTAAAGAATCCAGATATTTAGCATAGGCAGTTTTAATCCCTGTCAAAAAAATAATACAGGAGGGGTAGTACAATGGTTTGACAACTAGATGTCTTGAATTCCAAAATTCCACGTCAAACATTCTATCCCATTGCTCCATGATATATTCTGAGGTTACCTAGGAAGTATGACCAGCATACATAAAGGGCATGGTGGACAGATGGCTTTTTAAAGAGAAGGGAAGAGCCAGGTGTGGTGGTGCACGCCTGTATTCCTAACACTTTGGGAGGCCAAGGCAGGTGGATTACCTGAGCCCAGGAGTTTGAGACCAGCCTGGGCAACATGGCGAAACCCCATCTCTACAAAAAATACTAAAAATTAGCCAGCATGGTGGCACGTACCTGTAGTCCCAGCTACTCAGGAGGCCGAGGCACGAGAATCACTTGAACCAAGGAGGCAGAGGTTGCAGTGAGCCAAGAATCGCATCACTGTACTCCAGCCTGGGCAACAGAGCAAGACTCTGTCAAAAAAAAAGGCGGGGGGAAAGACAGGAACTGCATTTACGTACTCACTGGGTACCAGATATACAGAAAATTTCACTCTATCACATATAATTACAGCAACTCTAAGAGGTAGGTGTAATTATCTCTATTTTACAGGTAAGAATACTGAGGCTGAGTAATGTTAAATTAATACATAGTAGAAATGGAATTCTTGGTATATCTGATTCAAAACCCATGCCTTTTCTGCTACGCTAAGCTACACTCAGCTTAGGTTGGGCTTTGATGGAGGATTACACATCCCTTCTGCATTAGCTCTTTATTGCTTGTGTAACAAATTAACCCCAAATTTGGCAGCTTACGGCAGAACATTTTCTAACAGCTTCTGTGGATCAGGGGTTCAGGTATGTCTTGTTGAGTACTGTGCCTCAGGGTTTCCCACAGAGCATAGTCAACGTGTCTGAAATAAAATTTGCAAGGAAAAAAAATATTTAAAAGCAAGAACTACATAAAGCATCATATTTAATGGTAAGATGTTAAATGTTTTTCCTTGCAGATTAAGAAACAGATAAAGATGTCTCTTACCACCACTGAATATTGTGGTAGAGATCCTAGTCAATACAGAGAAACAAGAAAAATAAGTTATGAGGATTGGAAAAGGAAGAAATTCAACAGTCTTTATTCACAGGTAACACTTTGTACTTAGATTATGCAACAGAATTCACTGGTAAGTTATTAGAAATAATAAGGTAACTAAGTTTTCAAAGTCAGTACACAAAAATCAGTTGAACATCTATATGCAGCCAGAAGTTTTAAATTTTTAAGAATGCCAATTTAGGCCGGGCGCAGTGGCTCAGGCCTGTAATCCCATCACTTTGGGAGGCCAAGGTGGGTGGATCACGAGGTCAGGAGATCGAGACCATCCTGGCTAACACGGTGAAACCCCGTGTCTACTAAAAAATAGAAAAAATTAGCCAGGTGTGGTGGCGGGCACCTGTAGTCCCAGCTACTTGGGAGGCTGAGGCCGGAGAATGGCGTGAACCTGGGAAGCAGAGCTTGCAGTGAGCTGAGATCTCACCACTGCACTCCAGTCTGGGTGACAGAGCAAGACTCCATCTCAAAAAAAAAAAAAAAAAAAAACCAATTTAAGAGTGAAAATATCAAATACCTCAGAATAAATGCAATATAAAGTGTGCAAGACTTCTATAAAGAAATCTATTAACCATTGTTGAGAGAAATTAAACCCCAAATAAAAGTAGGAAAATACTATGCTTATGCGTTAGAATACATGTTGTGAACACATCAATCCCTGCAAGATGGACTATAGATCTGATACAATCTCATTTAAAAGCTCAACAGGGTTTTTATCGAATTGACAAAATGATTCTAAAACTTACATGGAAATGCAACAGGTGAAGCACAGCCAATGAAGAAGAACAAGAAGAGACAAATTTTTCTACCAAAAATCAAGACTTATTATAAAGGTCATTAAGACCTTATGGTATTGGTATAAGAATTGACAAATAGTTAAAAAGAACAGGATAGACATCCCTGAAGTAAACCCAACACACACTTGCTTTGCTATATGGAATCATGAATAATGTCTCAGAAGCAAAGAAAATGTGACAAAGAACACATGACAATGGGATCCACTGGTTTTTACTCCAAAGCTGAAGGTTGGACTGACCTCTTAAAGGTTAGTGTAACTAAGGCACCAGCTCAGGAAAAGACATTTTGTGTTAGAGCACTGTCATCTAGGAAACAGTATAAATTTTCAACTGTCAGCCATTATTTGTTGTTTGTTGGTTTTTGTTTTTGAGATTGGGTCTTACTCTGTCACCCAGGCTTGAGTGCAGCGGCGTGATTATAGCTCACTGCAGCCTCCACCTCCTGGGCTCAATCGATCCTCCTGCTCCAGCCTCCTGAGCAGCTGGGACCACACTAAACCCAGCTTTTTTTTTTTTTTTTTTTTTGAGATGGAGTCTCACTCTGCAGTGATGCAATCTTGGCTCACTGCAACCTCCACCTCCCAGGTTCAAGTGATTCTTTTGGCTCAACCTCCCAAGTAGCTGGGATTACAGGTGCATGCCACCACATCCAGCTAATTTTTTTGCATTTTTAGTAGAGATGGGGTTTTGCTATGTTGGCCAGGTTGGTCTGGAACTACTGTCCTCAAGTGATCCACCTGCCTCGGCCTCCCAAATTGCTGGGATGACAGGTGTGAGCCACCATGACTGGTCCCAGCTAATTTTTAAAAAATATTTGTGTAGAGATGGGGTCTCACTATGTTGCCCTGGCTGGTGTCAAACTCCTGGCCTCAAGTGATCCTCCAGCCTCAGCCTCCCAAAGTGCTGAGGTTACAGATGTGAGCCACTGTGCCTGTGGTAATTTATTGTTGAATGCCCAATAGCTGGAATACATGTGTCTGGCGTATAACAGATGGGTTGTAGCAGACATCAATAATTCCTTAATTTGGTCTGGGCCCAGTGGCTCACACCTGTAATCCCAGCACTTTGGGAGGCGGAGGCGGGCAGATCACGAGGTCAGCAGTTCAAGACCAGCCTGGCCAACATGATGAAACCCTGTCTCTACTAAAAATACAAAAATTAGCCAGGCATAGTAGCAGTCTTCTGTAATCCCAGCTACTCAGGAGGCTGAGGCAGGAGAATCGCTTGAACCCGGGAGGTGGAGGTTGCAGTGAGCCGAGACCGCACCATTGTACTCCAGCCTGGGTGACAGAGTGAGACTGTCTCCAAAAAAAAAAAACCCTTAATTTGTACTCCTTCAGCCTGACTTCACCCGAATTTCCAGTGGACAACTCCTGACACGCTCACAGTGGCCCATCTCAAGCACCTGTGTCTCTCAGCTTCTCTACCTGGGACCTTTCTCGACAGTGCCGCAGAAGCTTGTCCAGCCCCCGGCCAGAGCAGCCCACAAGAACTAGGGACTTAGTGGCCCAGGGGCAGCCTATGCCCAGCTTTCTCACCCTTCTGTGGGACAAGTGGGAGGCATGGGAGGCACCTTCCACCAGGTGCATTAGAGGATCTCCAATGGGACTGAACCCCACGTTGCCCACAGTCTTAATGAAGGAAACTCGATGGGAATTTCTCCCTTCCTTCTCACGTTTTGCCTACTCCCTCCCTCAGAGCTGGAATGATGATGAGTTGAGTCAGGCACCGAGGACACAGCCCTGGGAGTCCTCTTTAAATTTTGCACCCACTGGCCTCACTTGCCTCAGGAGAGCCTAGTCCTGGGCCCTACCCTCAGCCGTGCTTCCTGGCACCACAGCACAAATGATCTGCACTCAACTCCTTTCTCAGGATCTGCTAAGACAACTCGGCAATTCCTCTTAGTTATTGTTATGGGTTAAGCTGCGTCCCCCAAAAGGCCAGGTTGAAGTCCTAAACCCCAGCACAGAATGTGGCCTTATTTAGGGCCAGAGTGGTTGCAGGTGTAATTAATTAAGATGGGGTCTCACTAGAGTAGGGTAGGCCTTTCATCTAATCTGACTAGTTTCCTCATAAGAAGACAATGTGAAGATCCAAGAGACAAATGCCATGGGAAAATGGAGGCACAGAAAGGAGTCAGGTAGAAGGAAGGATTCTACCCGAGTCTCAGAGGGAACATAGCCCTGCTGACACCCTGACTTCAGACCTCCGTCATCCAAAACCTCGAGAGAATAAGCTTCCATTGTTTGAAGTCACCTTGG